ACGACCATTATTTCTACTGAAATAAAAGAGGGAATAGACAGCAAATGTTATAATTATTATGTGTGAACAGAAAAAACATACATGATTGGATGAAACATGACATATGTCATAACCATTACTTTGTTCTAAATATTAAGGTTGTTAAGTTGGGCAAAAAATGAAAATCTTGATTTTTAACGCTCAACATTAAATATTTCTTTGCAGATCTACAGTATATATACAACCTAGTTCATTTCAAATGATGGCACCAAAACTTGCAAAACAAATGTGCATCCTTCCCTGTGTCAAATTCTTTTTAAAAATGGAGGGCATATTGCTCTCATATCTGTCTGCGCCCTACCATACCATAATCCTCTCTTGCGTAAGGAGAGTAAAAATGTAGAATGGTGTCTTGCCAAAAGTAATGACCACAACTTGGACTCAAACTCGAATCAATCGAACCATAAAATTGCCCTATCTTAGACTTCGATACACTATACCCTATGTATATTCGTTATAACTCCAAGTATGAGTAAGTAGTAAATTTATTGAACTCAACAGATATACATCCGTAATACGATTAAGGGATTTATTTTTGCAGTATTACGTCAAAGGGCATTGAAAGAAACATCAATAGCGAGTACGAAATTGAAAAATGCTATGTCTTAGATGAGTTCAATTCATGGAATTCATCTTAATCACACAAAAACTTTTTTTTCTTTCTCATCTGAAGTATTGAATACAAACTGAGCATCAGTTGTTATATTCAAGTGATTTATAGATCATCAAAGTTAGTTAAAGTAATAACCAATCTATTAATCCCGCTGAAAATGTATATTGAATGTAATTAGCTTTGTAAAATATCACATTTGATAACAACGCAAAAAGAGAAAGGGAAAGAGAGGGGGAAAGCATAAAAATAGAAAACTAATGGTCCCTATGAGTTTCGAAAATGGTATTAAAAATATATCAGTAATAGAAGGAGTAACAGTAGTTCTACGGGGAGCAGGAGTGATAACAGTGACAATCAATGTGATAGAAGTCGTCGTATTTGTTGTAAGAGGAGTATAGTGTGGTGAAGTAGTAGTATAGTAGTAGTAGTAGTAGTAGTAGTAGTAGTAGTAGTAGTAGTAGTAGTAGAAGTAGCAGCAGCAACAGGCCTAGAAGGCCTTGTAAAAAGAAGTAGCAGTATTTGCAGCAGTATAATAATATGTTTTAGTAATATAAGTAGCAGCAACAACAATGGCAGTGGTGTTAGGGGAACTAAAAGTAGTAGCAGTAGTAAATGTAGTTGTTGATTTAGTAGTAGTAGTAGTAGTAGTAGTCGTCGTGTCGTCGAAGTTGTTGTAGGACCCGTAGGAAGAACATGCAATCTTAGTTTTGTTTGTTTTCTCTATCTTTTATCATTTTTAAGAAGAAGGTCATTGTAGGTCAGATGGAAATAAATGATTGAATCGTGAATAAGACATTTTATTGTCGCCATGTTCATGTGCAACTCCAGTCTCTTGACAGAGTTATCTTCAAAATTTACGATTCTTTAAGGTACTATGTCCCATTTGCAGGCCAACAAAAATGAAAAAGTTAAATTCCAACTGCATTTGAAAGATAATACTTATTTAGAACTTCCCTAAAAAAGGTGGGGCTTGAAAAGTCTTCAAGTGGGAAAATATGACTATTAGTTGTCAAATCGACTTTAGGGCTATAGAGCCCAAAAGTAATAGTCTTGATTTTCAGACAATTGTACCGAATGGTCATACGTTTTATGCTGCGCAAAGATTCAATCATTTTAATCTTGGCCATCACAAGAAGTGGGTTATTGATGTAGACAAATGCTCATGTACCCTTTACAACTATTTTCATGTATGTTATTACCAAAGAAGAAAAAACAGCCAGTCAGTCACTCAATAGTGTCTGACAGTGAAGTCTAGCAAGTAAACGGGTTTCCTTGCATAATTTGAATATGAGGACACTGCTAACGTTTAAATTTCACAGATAGGACATACATGACATATTCATAATTCCTGCAAAGTTCTACAGAATTTGAGGTTGGCTGCAAAAGAGACATAGTACCTTTAACAGAATAATCATTAGAAACTGGTTGCCTTAATTTGTACTTAAATGGCGAAAATCACAAAACGTTGGTCGTGCCTCCAATAAGTAATTCAGCAGTACTGACACAAAACCAATTAAAAGGGAGAGATAAAGATACAGAGAAAGAGAGAGAGGGGGCGGTGAGCGAAGAGTGTGAGAGGGAGAGACAAGAGAGAGAAGAGAGAAAGAAAAAATATTCAGAAAGGAAGACGAGAGCAAAATGTGTGATTGTTTTCTCTGCGTTTTAAAACCTTCAGGTAGATTGAATTCAAGCTAGACATCCCATTCTAAACAGAGGAGCATGAGTTATATGAAACAGAGGGCTCAGGGGCAACAGCCACCTGAGAATTTTGAGAGTCAAACCTGTCTATAGCGACCGCCCAAGGGAAACACAATAAGTGGTCTTTGTAGACAGGTTCCTTTAGTATACATTTTTTAATGAGAAACCGTTTTCAAGGGAAACAAAAAATGTGGTCTTTGTAAATAGATGGTCACTAAGTCAGGTTTTACTGGTACCAGCATTCAAGCAACTGTCAAGTATACTCGGGAAGCGAGAAGCAGCTTCGTTGTAACTTTGATATATTGCCTGATATGATCACTGACAACTTTCCATTAACGCATTATTATGTATACATAAAGCACCATCAGTGGTTGCGACACAAAAAGGTCTAGAGTTTTGTCTCGCTCGCTTCGTTCGCTTGTCATAACATTTCAGAAACCACAAATACATAGATGACAGCCCTTCAAAGAAAATGTACCCGTACATCCAAGATCCCTACTGCTTTATTATTATTTCTGATGCATTTATTCAAGCCCCGAGTTTTTTCGCTTATTGTCCTTTCTCTTGTACGTAATTCATTGAGAGCTCAATTTGGGGGTTACGTTGTGATCTCTAATGCTCATGCGACTGTTAGCTCATTTATTTTCGTCGAATAAATCCTAACTGTCTCCAACTTTTTTTCTAAGTAATGGATTTGTGAAAATGCTTTTTTCTTGATGTATCTAAATGATATGTGACCGAATTGATAAACTGCTTTCCCCAATTAATTAAAATCAACAAAATACTAATTTCATTCCTGAATTCCAAATTTTTCGAAAAAACATCATCAAAAATGCTATCATTAACTGTTACTTTCAATCATTCATGAGCAATAATATGTTGGAAATATAATACTTTAAAAATGTAAGCACATTTAACTTATGTTCATGTAAAGTTGACAAAAAAGCGTCACATGCCAAACCAAATCAAAGCATTTTAAATCGAATTTCGCAACGAGGGATGATTCCGCCAAACACGAGAAATGTCTTGATGACCGGAAATTAGAGATGATCGCTACAACTCACCGCACCACCTTCTAAATATTTATTTCTACTCCCAGGCAAAACTGGTTCTTTCTCCGAAAACTGGAGTATTTATCTCTCTTTGACATGTAAACTAATATTACAGGATGACATGCAGGCATAATAATAATTCATTACAAAATAAATCTTTCAGTTGTTTTATACATGTAAGAGTTGTTGTCTTAGACCGACTGGTAAATTAAACTCAAGCGGGCAATGATGAAAGAGAAAACGTATGTGCCTATTCATTAACTTCAATATTTGTGTGTCCAAATCTTTAGATTATATTAAAGGGATTACCAGACCGGGGAGATTTAGGAAATGATAGTGAATGTTAATAACATATAACAGGCACGACACAACCAACCTCAAAGAATGAACCATAATTATGATTTGACAAAAAATATAATAATATATTATGTGATCTTTTATGCCATATTATTTCCTGCATCTAATACAGTTTTATCTTACTTTGTTTTATGTCAATCTTATTTTATTGGACCAAGAACGTCAATAGGCAACTTCTTGTAAGAGATACCCAAATTAAATACGATTGAACATAAACTTTCAAATTCACATTTTCAACAATTTTCAAATTGCTCGACATTCATTTATGTTTTATGCTTGCAATTTTCTTTTCAGCATCAATACATTTCGAAAACTTCTTTACCAAATACTAACTACCGCTTTCTTGTATCTCGGGTATAAGGGAATATAGTGTATAGTCTCGGACGCTGTCTTAATTATGAATGGCCGTACGGACACAATTAAAACATTTTCCAAGCATTCATTTTACACTTTCCAAACCAAATTAGGTAAAACAAAGATTGTTGAAAAGGGACACTGCTATTTCCCCCCACATGTCCTGACCAGTTTAATCATTGTCAATCGCCTTCCGTTATTACATGGTTTCAAACTTTCATCGTTAATACTTACCGGGCAAGGGAGGGAAACATGGGTGCGAAACGAGCGAGTAACACTTTAGAGACTTCTTTTTAAGCTGAGAGTCACTGACGATTTGTATTATGTATTCATTTATACTAAAATTAAGATTAAATTATCAGTTGAAGGTATCAAGTGAGAAATTTCTTAAGTTTGTTACTGTACACCTGCTATTCCAATAAGCATTTCGGGTAAATGAACTACCATGAAATAAATAACGCTGTGGCTTACATACATACATGTATGACGATGATAACTCGTGTGCCATTAATTAATGGTATGTTTACCGATTATTTGTCTTTGATACAGAATAAAACGACGACAACTCAAGTGGTGAGAGTGAACATTAGAGTCGTATCTTACGATCCAAGTCAGATTATACCATTTTGCTTGTAGAATTATCTACCAAAACCTCTTCAACATTGTGGATTGGTATATTCGATTTCCTTAGTAACTTAAAACATGTAGCATAATTGATTGTGTTATGTTTAAACAATCTCTTACTTTTGAGGGAGATGATAGCTCAGAAATATTACATGTAAAAAAAGAATACAATTATTTATACAATGCGTGAATTACTTAGCAATGGACTGCTTCATCCCAATCCACCCCCCCCCCCCCTCCACACACACAGACTTAAAAAAAGGAGACGTATATCATTACACTTGACCACTCATTTGGCTATTCTAAGTTTACGTAAACAAAATAGAGGATAAATTATGTCAGTACAAAAGAAATATATGCACATTCCAAATTTGATAGCTATTGCTGATGACAGTGCTAAGATAAATTAACAGTCAAATATACACATTTAAACTTTTTAATAATGCGTATCCAGTCATACCTGAAAACAAATTTGCTTTTACGTTGAAACGAAATTGTGACATTAATGCTCAGTAAATCATATTTAATGTCGTGTTTTTATGTTCTGATCAACTTATCTGAGTTCGTAGTTATAGTTCCGTACACCTGGTATTACGGGATCCCGACCTGCTGTCGATAGGCTGCTTGACCTTCTCTCCTGGAATCCCGTTGGCCGATCGCGTGTGAGCCACACTGGTGATGGTGGTTTCTGCTTTCCTACACCTAACACAAATCATCAAGGCCCTCCGATGGCTCGTGCTCATGGCAAAGATTATAATGGGGTTGAGGCAAGAGTTGGCTAGAGCCGAGAAGTAGTAGAGATTCCGAAACTCAGCGACGCCGGCCATATGGACGAGCGAGGAGTGATCGAGTTGGAACCAGACGATGTAGATGTAGTAAGGGAGCCAGAAGATTCCAAAGAACAAAGCTAAGATGAGGACAGTCAGGGCGAGTCGTCTGCGGGCCGAGAAGTGCCTCGCTCCGGGCTGCGTCTCACCTGCAAACGCTCCTGCACTTTTCAAGAGAGTCTGTGCAATAACTGTGTAGAGAAAGGTGATGATAGCTAGCGGTAAGAGGTACATTACCAGTGATCTTGCGACTTCGTAGATTTTTGCCGCTCGGCTGAAGAGCTGTGTGTACTGGCATACGGGTGCATCTCCACCGGAGATGTGAGCGTAGGCTAAGATGGGTGACGCCACTACTGCTGCGATAAACCAAACGGCGAAGGCAGCGAGGATGCCTCGTCGCATACGACCACCGTGTCTGATGGTGCCTCCACGAACCAACACCGAGTAACGCTCAATACTAAGGGCAGTCAAGGTGTATACACAGACCCCTTGCACCATCACTTGTGTGAAATTAACCAGTTTACACCCAGCCAGTCCGTACTGCCAACAGGAATGCAGCTCATGCTCCAGAAAGAAAGGTCCAGATACCATTACGTAGAGTAGATCACCCATCGCAAGGTTTGTCAGAAGTATATTTGCTGATGTACGTAGACGCGGGCTGCTTAGGATCACCATCATTAGACAACAGTTTCCTAGGAAACCAACCAGAAAGAAAATGCCCAGAATGGCGGCATCCCGCATGAATTTGGGTCCCTTGGACAGACAGAGGTCCCCTTCAAAGACGATGCTGTATTCGTATAGTCCATCTTGGACGTAGGAATCGTTAGAATCGAACTGGTCAGTATTCAGACCCTCCATTGATGTCATTGGCAAAGTTGACTCCATTGTTGTAATCACAACTGGCAGATGAAACGAGTTTAATATTCTCACTCACTTGTCTTTCTTTAGAAAAGTGAAATTTTGGAAGCGAAATGTGTTGGTGTTAACCTGATCACTTAATAATCTCTAGATGCTCAAGAACATCATTTTGTTCCTTGGCAAATACAAACCTTGCTTTCCCGGTCTGTTTCAGTCTTGCCACTAGTTTTTGTAATGATAAATCTTGTAGAATACAATGTCCACACATCAGCACACTTTGCGAAAATATATACGAACGTGAATTCGAGGTAAAATACTTAATGAATTGAGTTCACCATACTGTTTGCAAAATTACTCATATTCCAACTCACAAACAAAATATACAAGATGTATCGTCATATGTTGGAAACTGAAATCAATCCCAAACTTTTTAGTCAGCAAAATGTTGTCAGTGACCATCTACATACACTCTCCATCTCTCCCGTGACACTTACTGAGGCAGACTGTTGAATTGAGATACTCTTTCGGTGGTACTGGTGCATTGCGAAAGGCATGTCCATAACTGAGGTGGATTGCGTTAGAGCGTCGCACTTGCGCCGAGCGAGTTTACCGCTTTCGGCGTCGAAGGAGAAAAGGAGCTCTCCGATCCAATAATGCTCTCTGATTGGCTGATTGGCATCATTCACATGAGCTTAGTTTACTCCAGATAAGCCCCGCCTACTCACGAAACTGCTCACTTTTGATGTCGTCATCGGTTTCCTTTCTGAGAACTAGAAGCTGTAGGTGACGTTGGTTTATGTATTTTTGTTTGTTGGTTATGAGATTGTGTTGGGTATCTGTTTTTTCTCATTCGTCAACCCCGATTAACATTGTTTTTCAGTTTTCTCGAAATATTAGGTAATCCCTACGAAATAAGTCTGTTTTGACGAATCTAATTTCTAAATTGTTCGTATTTCTAAAGATATCACTAATAACAATTTTACCATCTCTAACTTCCATGAAAATCCGTGTTCGACATCAAAATGTGTTTATTCCTGACTATATTTGTGACTTTCCACAGACAGTATCAACATCAGCATCTTTTTTTTTAAAGCTTTGAGCTATAATTAAATAATAAAATAATAATTGATATATTTGACGAAAGAGCTCATCTGGAAATGAATTCTGTATTTCTAGATGTCAATAAAAACATGTCCCTTCAAATAGTCACGTATACTTCTTCTTCTCCTTCTCCTTCACTTCTTCTTTCTCCTTCCTTCTCTCCCTCTCTTCCTTCTTCTTCTTAAGAAAAACAAATCTCAACTTACCCTTTGATTTTTTCTAAAGAGATTTTGTGTAGGCCTATTTTGTATCCATAACCAGAAAAAGATATTCTATTTTCTTATCTTTGACCCGCTTAAATGACTTTACTTGTGATGGTAGATCTACTTGTCTGTTCCCACAGAAAATGTGGATCTATATTCAGTATATCGAGACCCCCCCCCCCCCCCCCCCTCGTCTTTCAGGCAACAGAATCGAAAATGGAAGTGCTTGAAGAGGGAAGAAAATCAATTTTGAAATTTTGAAATCAATATCAAATTCGTTTATAAAATAGATAGAAATATTCCCATTTTCTTATGAAAATTATATTTTCATTTCTTTTTAGCTTGTTGAAAACAAATATGGAAGCACATTAAAAAAGTTGAATATCTGGGGACCCTTTTCACTCCCTTGTCGGCGACCACCCCCCCCCCCCCCCTCAAACTAGCGACGGCCCCGGATGCCCGAAGTCAGTTAAAATTCAACTCCTAGACCGAGTTGTCTTGACGAGGGCGGAAACTACTTGCCAATGCCATGATATAGGACGGTCCATTACATTAATGGTGTGATATCGATAAAAAGATCGCTCTCAAAGGGGCCTCTCTCAAGAGCCCTTTGGATTGCGAATTAAATTGTCAAAAATGACGGACGCCCCTTGTTTCTTCGATTTAATTATTCATTATCATTTTGGGGATAAGTTAAGGGGAGTAGTTTATTGTCCCTCTCTCTCTCCATTTCTTTTGTTTTTGATTTTGTTTGTTTGCTTGTTTAAGGGAGGGGGTTGGAATGATTTTGCTTCAAATGAATTAATTTGAGGCCAACATTTGTAAACCTCAAAGAAGTAAACTCCGTGTTTATATACTTTATACTTAGAAAGGGCTTTAACAATTTTAAAGGTACGTCAGTCCAGTCACTTTACACGACATTTATTGTCTGCTAATGATATATTGGAAAACTGCAAAATTGGTTTTGTGTTTCTGATAGTATGACTCTATTATCAAATAAACATTTACTTTACGTGTACATGTATTAAAGAGAACTGTTGCTGAGCTAGCGCCATAATCGTCCCTGGACGGTGTGTGCGCTCTTTAAGTTTACACTATTATATCTTTCATATAGTATCCACCTCCTTCATTTCTATATATCTCTCATTCTCGGTCTTTATCAGTGTCCTCGTAAATTATGCATATGCCATAATATCGCCGCCGGGGAGAGGGGCGTATCAACTTTTCGCTTCTAAATTCCGCGAGCAAGTACGGAGAACCATAAAAGAAAGACACTTTATCATACTGATAATATAATTTGTATACGGAGAGGGCAATACGGAGAGGGCAGAAACAAAAGGGAAGAAATGATGATGATGATGACAATGATGCTGATTATTAAGAAGGACAAGAACAAGAAGAAGAAGGGAAAATAGAAGAGGAAAAGAAATATAAGAAGAAGGGGGTAAGGAAAATAACAGGCAGACTAATAATCATTCTCAAAATGAGAAGGAAAAGAAGTTAGAAAAGTAGGAGTACAATGAATATCAAGAAGCTAGAAAAGAAAAAGAAGTAGAAACATGAGGAGGAAAACGCTGTTCTTTCGTGAAAACTGTGGTCTCTAATTTCAATATGTGAGATATTAGAGTTATGATTGCTTACAAGATTATGTGTGAGATATTAGAGCTATGATTGCTTACAAATCGGCTTATAAACTTCAGAACATGTCCTATTAGGAGGGGTCAATTACAGCCTGTTTCAAAACATATACTATACAGCGGGATCATTATATGTGGGGCAAAGTCTAACGAATTATTTGATAACCTGAAATAAAACGATAAAACAAATCTCGTCAGTAATCTGTTGTATAAATAATCATTCAAAACCCTGATGCTGTGTTGCACCGCTTCAGCTCTCAAACATAGTAAATAACATATAGGGTATAACTGGATATTCGTTTTGCTCTTATTCATTATTCCCCCGCCTTAGACCAGTTTTAATAGAAGGAACGGGATGATGTTGCGATTTGTCTCCATTGGGTTATGGCTGGTTGCCCTGGGGTGGACCTGCAGTGGCCAGCCCGACCCATGTGACGTTCCGTTAGTGACGGACAGTGGGCACAAGGACAACTTTACCGTGGTGGATCTAGCCCGAGAGCTCTATGCTTGTACTATGATCAAGATGATAGAACGGGCGGGACTAGGACCCATGTTCCGCGAAAAAGGTGCTATAATTATATTACTATACTAATAATGAATGAGATTTTCCTAATATTAGAAACTATTAAGCATAATGAATAATGATAGGTTTAAGTTTTGAAAATGTTTATCTCTTTTAAGTATAGTGTGCTAATTAATATTGATTTAACATAATGATTAATAAGGATATGAAATACATAAATGTGTGTGTACTTGTCATCTTATTTATATAAAAGATTAAGAACGGAAACAGATCAAGGGACGAACAAGGGAGACGTTAGAATATTTCCAACAAGCGGTGGTGGTGGAGTGTTGAACCAAAGTTGCCTAATGCTTTTGGGCATCAAATACCATGCCCCCACGCCCCTGAGGAAGGTAATACAGGGTGTAAAACAAAGCCATCAGGCCTTTCCCCCAACCCAGGATGATCCTGGTATATGGTATACATGCAGTTGAAGACATTCGATCAGCATAGAGGAAAACACACCTTAAAGAACAGTCACCCTAGCTTAGCCTGTAAATCAAGTCTTTCACCTTATTATCAATACAACGACCTTTTCTTTTACCAGGCCCCTTCACCCTCTTCGCACCGTACGACCTAGCCTTCGGTTTCCTGCCTGATGACATCTGGAACAAGCTGATGTCAAACAACACTTATCTTCGTGAGCTCCTCCTCTTCCACACCGTGCCCCGTCTCATCGGGAGCATCGACAACGTGTACAATGACGAGCTGATCGAGACCATGCTCCCCGGCAAGAACATCCGACTCAACGTCTACCAGATCGGCAAGATGATGGTTGGTGGGCGTGGCGCAGCTGATCAAGCAATGGGGGTAACCGGTGTGAGTTGGTGGTGAATTGGTGGTGGGTTATACTCTACTGGTAGATGGTGGTGATTCGGGATTGGCGGGTGAGATGATATTATGTATGAGAGAGTGGGAGTAAATACGGTGGGATGAGAGAAGAGAGAGAGGGAGAGAAAGAGAGAGAGAGTGTGTGTGTGAGAGAGAGAGAGAGAGAGAGAGAGAGAGAGAGAGAGAGAAAGAGAGGGAGAGAGAGACGAGAGTGGCAGAAAGAGAGAGAGGGAGGGTGGAGATATAGACAGAGAGACAGAGAAAGAGAGGATAAGAAAGTGATAGAGAGGGAGATGAGTAGGGGCGGCAGAGAGAGGGAGAGAGAGAGAGAGAGAGAGAGGGGGGGGGGGTCGTTCAACTCGTTTATACTGAGATAAGTGGAGTTGGAGACAAACGTTTGAATAATTCGCTTCGATTATGCAGATTGAAATTTTGTCGATTTAAAGCTCCGAACAGAGAAAGAAAGTTCATGAGCTAGATGGATGAGACCCTTGACTTAAATCTCAATCTTACTATCATATTTGATCACTATAATTAATCTATAATCTGGTATATATATCTTTTCTTTGTGATTATATCTAGCGGATTACAGCATGTGGTGGGCCTGTTATTGATGGTGGAAACGCTACTAATGGTGAGGTTCGCATCATTTCGAATGTGATGCACCCAGTACCACCGGGTGATATCATGGATGTTATTGACAATGACAAACAATTTACCGAGCTCAAGAAACTGGTCTACCTGGCAAAGCTACAGGATTACCTAAAAGGTATGTGTGATGCCCAAAAATTGCAGAAATTAGTTTCTTTAAAACAAAAAAATACACGGGGGCTCGGAGCAAATTAGCCCCCGAAATGCCAAAAAAGCCCCCGAAAGTCAAAAAAGAGCCCCCAAAAATATGCATAGAGTTCAATGCAAAACAACTTAAAGAGTGTTATTTTCATGCAAGCAAGCTTGAAAAGTAGCCCCCGAAGTATTTTTTCCCTGATGTTGTCTGTATAATATATTGTGCAATTGAGAACAATAGCCAGTTCAGGTATCAACAGATAATTGATCAATTTAAACCAGATGATGGGTTAAGGCTTTTTGTTCAAAATGGGATTTGACAAAGTTAGTTAGTCCAGGGAGGTGAGACTTTTAACTCACATGCCCTGGTTAGTCTGCTCTCAAAATTTTCCTTTTGTTAAACTCGATAGTAGAACGAGGCCTAGAATACTGACCAAAGGGTAAGTGTTATAGTCGGGATATTAGATTAGGGTTATGGTGGTTTTCGCACATATTCTCTCTCATTTCACGTAGTCTCATTTTCTTCTTCAAATTCCTTCTCAAACAACATGTTTATTTCTCTAACTGCATTTTCGATTTAAAAAACAACATTGATGTTACCTTTCTTTTTGGTCGGGGTCGAGTACCATTACTTTCTTTTCATACCCTTTATGTGTTGTTTTGCAAGGTTTACCCTATTACAGGGCAAAAATATACAGCTTATGTACGTTCTATACGGAGCTTTTTTCATTCTTGATTCCGAAATAAAAGGGGGCTGTGAGAAGAAGTAGCATCGATTCTGTTTCCTGACATTACTCGTTTGACATTTCCTAGGGGCTTTGTGTACACATAGGGCTCGGATTGCGACGGGGTGAAAGGTAGACCGAATTTTCCGTCTCTTTCGTTCGTTAGCCTCTTATTATTGGGGTAGGGTCGGCTCTCTCTTTAGAGACGGAAGCCGTTTATACACATGTCCTTGCTAACGCCACGGCCAGTTCTGGTCGTAGCGTTTTGCCCCCAAAATCCCCCAAAATGTCATTTTACCTTGAGCATGTTATATTGTAAATTAGGCCTAGGCTATAATAAATCAGTTCCACTTACCAACTTGACTGAAATAATCAGTTTAATAGTCCCTTTTTAGGAAATTATGGGTCAAAATCGGAATCCATGTTGAAAAAGATTTTCAAAATGGATTTCGATTTTGACCCATAATTTCCTAAAAAGGGACTATTAAACTGATTATTTCAGTCAAGTTGGTAAGTGGAACTGATTTATTATAGCCTAGGCCTAATTTACAATATAACATGCTCAAGGTAAAATGACATTTTGGGGGATTTTGGGGGCAAAACGCTACGACCAGAACTGGCCGTGGCGTTAGCAAGGACATGTGTATAAACGGCTTCCGTCTCTAAAGAGAGAGCCGACCCTACCCCAATAAGAGGCTAACGAACGAAAGAGACGGAAAATTCGGTCTAGGTGAAAGGTTGCTTTGGTATCACGTTGGACCCTGGGTTGAAGTCAGGAATTGACCGAGAATCTATTGTCGTAGGAGCGTAATATAGTGATGGACGTGTACATTCGTGTTTTCTAATATATTCTCATGTTTATGAAATCTTTTTCTTCTTTTCCTCTTTCTCCTCCTCCTTCTCTCGTCTTTTTCTCCAGCAGGGGGTCCGTTTACGTTCTTTCCTCCAAATAACAATGGCGTTGATAAGCTGTCTCGTGACGAATTGAAGAAACTCGAACATAACACCACGTTACTACGCGAAGTGTTATTGTACCACCTCTTAGATTGGACGCTCTATGCGTCTGGGAGCTATGATGGGGAAGTATTGGTCACTGTGCAGGGAGAGTCAATTAATCTTACTGTGTGGTATGGTATGTACAACAAAAACTACATTAGCAGTTTCCATGTCTTGTGTTCTTACAAATTAAATAAATATCTGTGTACATTCACAAATATATGCAGTGTATTTCATGTACATATGATGAAATACTCATGGCATCCCTATGTGATCTAAAATAATCAACCACAAGCTCTAGAAAACAAAAAATATATCAAGAAGCACAAGGAAAAAATACATGGATGGGGCCTCGAGGCAAATTAGCCCCCGAAATGCCCAAAAGTTTTAAAAGAGCCCCCAAATTTTGCTTAGAGTTCAATGCAAAACAAATTAACGAGTGTTATTTTCATGCAAGCAAGCTTGAAAAGTAGCCCCCAAAATTTTAAAAGTAATGTTTTCCCTGAAGATGCAGAAATTCACTACACCATTGCGGACTATTTTACAATTGGTATACATGTATGGTTCTAGGACACCTACCCCCTGGATAACCACCCCCCTAGGGCAACCCACCTCTAGGACAACTACCCCCTAGGATGGTTGTCCTAGGGGGTAGTTGACTGGGGGTGGATATCCGGAGGGTGGATGTCCAGGGGGTAGGTGTCCGGATACGATACATGTATATGTGCAGGATATGTACTGACATACATGTATGTTCATGCAAGAGGGTTTATTCAAACCATATTATGAGATTTGGGGGAAATAGGGAGGGGTGATTGCTCTTGCAGATAACTGATAAAATACGATTGAAACGTGTTTCAGGCAAATTTGGGAAAATTTAATTTATGTTGACATTTATCTAATCTTGTCAATTACCATCATTTATCTCTTCTTCTCTTTCCTATTCTGTTAAAAACATATGCTCTTCACCAATTCCCTTGTCCCATAACTCTTTATCGCCTTTATCTCTTTCAAATTGTCTCTCAAACTGTTCTTGATTTCACAAACTCTCTAATCGGTCTTCACGTTCATATCCACATTCTTACTTAAAATTGTCTCTTTCTAGCTCCATATTTTCTCACAATTGTTCCGTTTCTCTCTCTCTTCCCTGGTTTTATGCAACACATCAGACAGTCTATGGGTGAATGGACACACCAACGCCAGGGTAGTCTACCAGGACTATAATATCTACAATGGTGTTCTGCACATCATTGACAAAGTGCTCATACCACCTATCATCTGGCAGAAATACAACTGAGAAGCGTCTCGTTTGCTTACTAAAATACACTAATGATGATTCCCAAAGACTCATTTCTATTTTGATACATCTTCATAGAGCATCAAAACAGCATTACGATATGCTCCCTTGAATTGGATCGTTTGTGCGCACATCAATTTCATAAAGAAACTCCAAGTCCTTATTATTAGTGGATACCATGTAAAAAATTTAATTTGTTTTATTTGTATTTGTATTTTCGTTTAACTGTTTGTAAGGAAATTTGGCAGCACATGCAATTTCAGTGAACACCATTAAAAAATATAAATCAGAAGATGTCGCAGAAGCTCACAAATTGAAATGAGATATAAATTTCGACATATATGTATTCTGGAATATTGTCTGATAATAGTTTGTAGCACAAACAATAACTTGGAAATCAAGAGTGAAACGTGTTTGAAAGTACGGTGTGAATAAAAAATCTTTGCTTCTCAAATACATGTAGAATATTCATGTAGAATGTCTTGTGAATTCAGATTTCTCATCGATAAATCCTTCCGACATTTTTTATTTGCTCTTTTACTCTACACTTGTTTGGTTCTGGCTACATACTTTTTGATAATATTGGAAGAACTTTTTAGTATGTCATGTTAACTCCATATACCTGTAGAACCAGGATTATAATTTCAGAACTGAACTTCACAATAGATTCTAATTACTGTTTTCCTACCAAGGATCTTTCTTAAATTCCAAAACCTTGTTTTTTTAATCATTATATAACAAGACAAAACTTATGCAGTTCTAAACCACTTGTGAATTTAATGAGGTTTCTGGTTTTTACAGTAATGAGACGGTGTTTTTTTTTCAAATAAAAATTTGATTCTGCTATCACATTTACCGGTAATGGGAAACCACAGACCTGACAAACAAGTCATATATTGCATGAAACAAAACTGTGATAGTTGATAACCAGCATCTCTTTGCACGGCTTTAATTTTAGGGTTAGTTTCCGTCAGAACACAACAACACTCACATACCATGAACTCAAACCTCGAACCTTGCTGATGATCACATGACAAAGGAAAAACAATCTTGACCACATGATTGCATTTTTTGTAAGCCTTGTTTATTGAATTGCTGATCTTACAGTCCTGTTGGTGTTGGGTCTTTTAAATTCAAGGTCTCACATGACACAGTGTAGAGTGAGGATAATAAGAGTCACTATGTCCATCACAATGGATATCTATGTGGTTGGCTTTCTACTTCTTTCCTTTGCCCTTGGCTGCCTTTGCCTTGCCTTTGCCCTTAGCTGCTGGTGCTGCCTTCTTGACCTGTAGGCAATTGAAACAAAGGAAATGAACAGAAAATGAATTATGAGTTGAAAATAACACAACAGGCACCAATGGCAATTATGAATACAGACTCAATTCTGAAATAGAATGTGAAAAGTGTACTTTGTTGATCTACTATTCACCCAGTGTCTTTGCCAATCTCATGTACTTTCTACTGCAGCAAACAAAAATAGAAATAAAATTGGTATTGGAATAATCCATATGAAAGTAGACAGGCAAGTTACAATGGCAGTGTTTCTGTCCGTTGTGCATGTCGATCCGATTTTGACATTCAATCAAACACTATGAAAAATTGGCAGTTTTGGAAATGGATCTAGTGTTCACTATCGGCTGTCTGTTCAGGCATATGAATCCGCTTTGAAGCATCTTGGATATATTTACATGTGCATAACAATTGGTATTCCATAGCAATGTCAACTAACAAGTAACATCACTAGGCAGATGCATTAAAGTTCTAGAGTAGGCTTGCGAACCAAGGTTATGAATACAGCATTGCAGTATATCCCGAAAGTTTTTAAGTACAGCAGGACACAAAGTATATTAGCAGTATTTTCTATTCTTTCAATTTCTGCTGAAGAAGTAGCAGCCTGGAATTTGTGACATGATACAATGCCTTTCAAATGTTATGTGTTTAATTTTTTCCGCAACCACAACTTTGGCTGTTTTTTTCCCCTCAACTCTTTGGTAAAAGTGAAACAATATTTGAAGTCCCACTTATCCCATCAGTCTCATTAAATCAGTTTTCTAACCTCCATATTCAATGAATTCAGGTAGAATGGAACATCATTTGGGATACAGACTCTGCAATACATTTACACATGCATAACAATTGGTATTCCATAGCAATTTCAACCGACAAATAAAATCACAAGGCTGAAATACTATTCTAATATGAGCACACAAAGAGTAGACTTGCACAACGAGGTTATGAATACAGCATTACAGTATATCCCCTAAGAACACAATACATACCCCCCTCTTCTTGTCGAGGATCTCCTGCCTCTTGGCCAGTGCCCTCTCCTCATCCAGCTTGGCGTTGCGCTTCTGTGCCTTGGCATAGGGGTTGAGCTTGAACATGACCCTAGCGTTCTTCAGAGGGTTCTTCTTGAGGACCTTGCGCTTGGATGACGTTGTGTTGACCTTTCTGAGGGAGCGACGGATCTCCTGACTCCTCAGCAACCTCCTCAGGTCGGTGTTGGTCATCTTGGGCATAGGGAGGCTAGGAGAAGAGAGAGGGTGATGGTGGTTTACAATTAAAGTTTGGAATATTAACCCTACAACAGCATAATATGAGATGTGCAGAAGCCTACAACACTTTTCAGTGCAATTCTTATATCAGTGAAAGGGTTTTCATTTCTATTTAGGATGATTTACTAAATACTTCAAGCAAGCCCTTTCTATAACACCACTTGCATTTAGGCACGTTTTACCGGACTGATGATTAAGAACAATTTAGATATTCAAAAATGAACATTTTGAGTTGCTGTTTTCCTGTGATTCGAGTCCAAAAATTTGCTATGTCAACTATTGATATTTATGCATTCTTGCTCCTCAGGTCACGATCACTTATTACTATTAATCTTTGCTGCAAAATAATGAGTATAATACTACCTTACAAAGAGGATAGATCTATCTGATTTCTTCATAATTTAAGTGGCCTTTACATTACAAATGTAATAGGGACACCAAATGCAAGAAGTTTTATCCATATAAATGCATCATGTGTTTAAAAAAAACAAAAAAACTCTCTCAACTGTTCGTTATGATTCAATCCCTTTGTCACATAAACTTTTACAAAACCACTCTAAGCAACTCTTTTTTTTCTAAACCACTCATTGAATTTGCGAGCATTTCATGCCACTCTGTGAACTCACTTCCAGTTGGACTTCTCTGAGGAAGCCTTCTTCCATGTGCCGTAGAGGCCATCAAGCTTGTTGAATGCAGACTCTGTCCATACGCAGAACCGTCCAACATGGCCACCGGGAGCTAGCCTCAAGAGGTTCAGTCTTGAGACCTGGAGAAGTGTCACACCTAAAAATGAGAAAGGTTTACAATCATTCCAGCCATGTCAACATTCTGTGATAAATAAGAGAGCATCATCTCGTTTCTATTGTCACATAGTTAATTCCCGGTATTTTCTTTTCTTTCAATTTCTGCTGAAGAAGTAGCCACCTGGAATTTGTGACATGATACAATGCCCTTCCACAGGTTATGTGTTTATTTTTGTCCCCTGCAACCAAAACTTAGGCATTTTTCTCCCTCTCAACTCTTTGGAAAAAGGGAAACAATATTTGAAGTACTATTTATCCCATCAGTCTCATTAAATCAGTTTTCTAACCTCCATATTCAATGAATTCAGGTAGAATGGAACATCATTTGGGATACAGTCAGAGTCTGCTATTGAATACTAGTGTAAGGAATTGGTCCAGCCCTTTTTTTTTTAATCACTAGCTAAGATTTGGGTATGTGATACCTGTTTTACAACTGCTAGCACTGACTATGGATTGAAAAAACCTTCACGAACAGGAATGATCAGATATCTCAAAATGTCATCTGACAGTTTCCCTTCTTACAGGTTATCTTGGATAACCACACTGTAACGAGTAAAACAAGTCCAAAGAAATGAATATTTTGTTATTGGTTTAGCTCTTAATTTGTAATGTGATGAGCAGAGGTGCTGCAAATAAAACCAAATATTAAGCTGTGCACTCACCTGGGATGTTCCTGAAGGCCCTTGTGATGCCGTTGTCTTGATCGTACACAACCAGGGGACCGAGACGTCTGACGAACCTCCTGTTCCTCATCTTACCCTTGCCTGCCCTCATGCGACGAGACTTGTACACCTAAGGTACACAGAACAACAAGGACCAACAACATGGTAGATTTACAAATATCTTCTTTCTATTAATTTGCATTGTTACACACGCAACTGAAAACCAGTTTTTTCAAACTGGCATACTGTCGAACCACTTCATGCTTTTATGAAATGGTACCTAGTTGTCTCATTCAAATGGTCTTGGACAAGAACAACACAAACTGGTTATACAAAGCAGTTGTCAATGAATCATTGCTTTCACCCTCTAGATCAAAAGCAATGCGATGGACAAAGCATTCCCACAAATCCCATCAGTCTCATTAAATCAGTATTGTTATCCTCCATATTCAATGAATTCAGGTACAGATAAACATCATCTGGGATGGGAATACAATATAAATGGATCATAGATAAAGGTCTAAGAATTTAAGTGACTGCAATGTTGAAATAAACATTTTGAAAATAGTTCATGAAATAAAGGGAGAGCATGCACATTAGATTCAGAGAGAACCCTCTAACTAGTTTCCAAGAAGTGACAGTATTCTCACAAAGTGTTTCCATCTACTGCAAAATATGAGGTTGTGAGGGGAAAACAAAAAGTCACTACCTAATCACTACCTATTTTAGTTTTTACCTACAGGTAAAGGGCCTCTTAACTATAATCTTCTTCTTAAATTAAAATAATTTGTTGGTATTTACCTTCTTGATGTCTTCCCACGCCTTGAAGCGCTTGAGGAAGTAGACTGCTTCCTTGGTCTTCTTGAAGTCTTGGACTTTGTCACTGACAACAAGGGGTACTTCTGGTGTGCCCATGATCATGTGACCTGCAATTAGCATTTAATCAAAGAATGTTATTAACAATCACCATGATAAAAAAGTGACCTCAAAATGTGAGAATACCTTGCAACTACCAACCATCATGGTCAAGGATTACTTAGAAATGTGAATTGTTGAGGCATATTCATGTAGAATATTCATATCATGGTGATGATCAAGCTCTCCTTTGTGTCAGGCAGATACAAAAGAAAACTGAAGGAAATTTAAATCTTGTTTCCGAAACAGAGCGCATCTAGTTTGTATTCATTTTGTTGCCATACTGAATGAACATTTAAAAAGACAGCAAAACTATTTAAAGTTACAAAAAAAAACTGTTATGGCAGCCTTTTTAAAACATGCAATTACGCATGTCAAATATACGATGACAGCTGATCTCCCTTCCATTACCTTTGGACATGACGAGTGCTGGGACTGCCGAGGCAGCGAGAGCGGAGCACATGGCGAAGCGCTTCTGGCTGATGTTGGTGCGTGTGTGCCACTTACGCCAGATCTTGGTAGGGGCAAACATGCGTCCGCCACGGCACATGTTACCGAAGGCTCCCTGACCAGAGCGGTGGGTACCACCACCCCGGACACGGGGGATACGGGCGACGGCACGTCCTGTACCCCAAGATTCAGCACTGGTCTGGTGACCTGAAAGAATGGACGTAACCAAGGAGCTCATATTAAGTTTGTGGATGTTTTCAACAAAATAACACATTTATATTACGATTGATGAAGTTATTAGCAATATGACCAACTTCCCTGCAATCAAATGTACAAAATCCAATTTTGTTGTCCATCATACTAACATTATGAAAGCTATCAAAAACCCTTACCCATCAATCTAATGTTTGAGCAGAAGCAGTTCAACTAATATTAATTTTAAGTTTTCCTTGGAAATTTGCTTAACAAGTGGGCATAATTTCAACTAATTATCTCCCTACAACCTGGCATAGAGTGTCAAGATCACTGGTTCAGAACTTCATTATTATCAAGGTCATTCAAAAACACGGACCTGAAGTTGAAGTATCATCATACAATCTGTCCAGGGGGGTGTTTCACAAAGATCCTAAGTTGAACTTATCTCTAAGTCGGACTTAAAATTTATGGGAAGCCATTAGAATCCTTGAAAACATTTTGTAATTTTTTGTTTAGAAGGCATAAAATGTTGATTCAAATCATTCATATTTTCTATTATCATGGGAGATTTCATGTTCTTGATGTGGAATTGATGAAAAGTCTAAAATACTCCAATTTTTGCTTTTGAATATATTTCATTTTAAGGCTCCAATGGCTGTCCATACTTTTTAAGTCCAACTTAGTGTTAAGTTCTACTTAGGATCTTTGTGAAACACTCCCCAGGGCTCGACACAAGCAGGTGCCCGGGGCAAAAGGGTACAACAACAAAAAGAAGTCGGGGGCCCTATAATTTGATGATTTTTACCTAGGGCTCATGCACACCGACTCTAAAAAGTGAAATCTGACCCCCTTTCCAAAATAGTTAGTGTGGAGTCCTGCCATCACTCACTCACTCACCACTATTCAAAGTTTTTCGAATATCTGCAAACTGCATTAATTGAGATACATTACTCTCTATAAACAAAATTCTTTTTCCCCAAAAGCTGGACTTCACAAATTCCACATCTAAGAAAAGGCTGAGCTGTGGTGACGTAACTACAAACAACTTACCAGCGATCCTCTTGACAGCGTAGGGCTGACGGCTGTTCTTCCTCATGTTGGTGTGGGCATAGTTGACAATGTCAGGCCTGATTGGTGCCTTGAAGACAGCTGGGAGGGTCACATTGGTTCCGGTAACCTCATTCTTCTCATTGTACACTGTAACAAGTGGTCTTGCAGCTGCAACAGCCTGTAGAAAAAGTGATAGTGAAAAAAGTCAGTCTGGTTTCAAGAGTGAGAATCAATTGGGGGGGGGGGCAGGGTGGACATGTGGAAAACTATTAATAATATTAAATCATCTCGAGGGATTTGGGGATTGAGATTACCAGTAGGGGCACTGGTCTGCAAAAAATCTGCAAAAATGTGACCGATCCTTTTTTTTTGAGAAGCGATTTGCCGGCGTTTACGAAGTTGATCCTCGTTTAGGCGGACAATCCTTATTCTCAGACCAGCGCCCCCTACTAATCACAGTCAAAACTCTTTCCAACAGACCCAAACCATGTTTTTCACCTGTCAAACATGATTAAAAAATGTTGTAACTTCTGTTTACACAATTTATCGGAAGACTTGTTGTGCTATCAACTCTCAACATTCCAAAAAATAACTAGAAATCTAACCAAGCACAAAAACACTCATCGTTAATAAACAAACCTCAAAATTATTCATCATTCATGCACACATCACTTAACACAATTTAATGAATCAAGCACAATTCACAAAAAAAAATCATTTTCAACATCGTGTTCATAATCTCTAAAGCGTAATGTGCATTGTGCGAGGTCTGGAGGTAGCACACGTGCATTTCGCACTGCCTTTCATATAACTGTGCTCAGCTACGTTGCCTTGCAAGATAATTTGCATTAGAATACCCGTACGAAAATGAACGACAAGAACGTGGCGGGACATAACGGTGCAAATGTGGCCTAAAATTTGAGCTACAAGGGCGTTGACATTAAAATACCACGTAACATAGAAATATAAATTCATTCATGATACAGATTTTATACTATTTTTTCAAATCAAAGAAGATTAAGTACCATTTTGACTGTATTTGCTAGCAGCTTTCGATCGTAATTTAGACACGAGAGCCACCACAGGCGAAAAGATCGTACATGAGAAACATGTGATTGGGCTGAAACAGTCGGAACTATTTAACAATACGAATACAAATCTCGCCTTATTTTTGCGTTTATAAGATAACATTTAATACATCTAATGTCTAAATTGACTCTTTATTATCAATGGATGTTCCACAGTTACATATCTGGAGCTGAATTTAGAGGTTAATCAATTAATAAATGAACTAATTTAATGCGCGATATGACAGTCCTAAAGAAAACTCGATCTGATAATTTCTCGTCCCGTATAAGTTCGACCTACTGAAATTCGAATGCTCCGCCGTTCATCGAACATCACATCAATCTTTTTCTACATCGAATGGTTAGTTTCTGGCGGGGTTTCTAGTACACGTTATCCCTCTAAATATTAAGTCAACATTTTTTTTTTGCAAAGGTTAAATAGTCAAAATGTAGATATGCTGGCAGGCTTGACCCGGGGGGGGGGGGTATAACCCCCCCCCCTTGAGTTTTTTTTTTTATATGTATGTTTTGTGTAAGTTTTTCTGAAAATACCCCCCCCCCCTTTTGATTATTATTATTATTAATAGAAGAAAAAAAAGAAAGATGATGCCAATGGCTGACCTAAAAAAGGTGACCTTACCCCCCCCCCCCCCCCAACGGAACAAAATATCAAATTTTCAAATTTTAAAACAAAAAATATGCATCACCAACACTCTTACATGTTATATGCAGGCGATCAGGTAGAGTGCAGTTAGCAATGCGAGTGGAGCATAAATTGGCGTGGGGCCGGGGGGGGGGCATCCACGGGAAGTTCAGGGCTTTTAGGCATTAAATAACGGTCAGATATGCATATTTAGGCATACATACCTTATTTGTAGCGCTGGCATAATTATGGTCAAATGAGCATTCAGAGGCCGATATTTGGGCCCCTTGTAGGGTCCAGGGGGGGGGGGGAGCCCCGGGAAGCTCAGGGGTTTTAGACATTTAATTACGGTCAGATGAGCATATTATTACCTAATTATTTGTGACACTGACAGGGCACTAATTGGCGGGGTGCAGGGGTCTAAGCCCCGTGAAGCTCAGGGGTTTTCCTTCAATTACGGTTTAGATAAGCATCCAGGGGCCTTAATTTTTTTCTTCCAAATTCGTGAGCAAATATTTAGTGTCGAATCAACACCTACCCCCCCCCCCCCAATGCGCCAGGGAGAGGGGGCCCGCTTCTTTTTTAATTTAAAGTGTAAATTTACTTGTTTTTAGGTCAGGGGAGGGGGTCCAGGCCCCCTATTGATTCGCAACTGCCCATCAGTACGACAGTGTCCACCGCTTTCCCATCCTCTCACAACAATTCTGCGATATGCACGTTTTCCCTGCATTGCTAAGTTTAGGGTCCTGTGGAATGTTTAGGAAATTCAATTCCTGTTTATTCTCTTTTTCTTTGGATGGAATATAATTTTTTATGTGATTCATGTTTTTGTTTTTTGTTTTTGTATTTGCTAAAAAAATATAAACCATTTTCACTCCTTTACTGCTAAATTTATTTTCGGGGGGGGGGGGGCAGTTTTTTTTGTTTTTTGGGGGGGACGAAAATGTGTTTTGCCCCCCCCCCCCCTATATAGCCTTATGCTAAGTTATTTCTGTCACTCGCGGGAGCTGCAAGACTACCTGTCGCCGCCTCTGATGATTAGTGAACCGACTGCTAAACTATACTTTTCAGGCCAAACCCAGGGCCAGCCACTGAGACGAACAAAGGCAAATCTGCCATATGCTTCCTAGAAAATATCAATGCTTTGTTAAATCTCTTATTTTTAGTATATATGGAAGGTAAATTGGCAAAAGCATAAGAGAGCCTTGAGAGGATACCATTATAACACGAGGAGAATTTTGAGGCTTTCGCTGGGGAACAGGGGGGGGGGGTGGTGGGTGCGGTGGATATAGTACTAATTTGACACCGAAGTTATATTGGCCACATATAAGAAGTTTGACATCAATCAATTGTAATAGTGAATTAATCGAGATAAATCATGGATTCTAAAACGCAGTGCATGTTTATGAGAGGCTAAATGGTGGAGCCGTAAATTAGAGTGAATATCAGGACATAGACCGTATCAACCCCCGAAACCGGAAAATCCCTCATAAAATTCTACCCCCCCCCCCCCAAGCATGGTTCTAGGGTGAGGTGAATCGCAAACTTAGTTATCATATCGCCCACTCCCCGGAAAATTACCATTAGGTACACTACCACTAAACTACCACCCGAGGACCCTGGAAAATTCCCCAACCCTCCGCGGGACCAGTAGTGTACGCAGGATTTTTTCAAGGGGGGGGGGTGTAACATTTTTAAATCTGGACGAAAATTTTGCAACGACTCAGCCAGCCGCTGAATAAGGGGGAGGGGGGGGGTAAAGGATATATATATATATATATATATATATATATATTTTTTTTTTTTTTTTTCTCGAAAATTGAAAATTTGATATTTTGCTCCGTTGGGGGGGGGGGGGTTGCTCCAAAATACACACATTAAAAAAATGAAGGGGGGTTTAACCCAACCCCCCCCCCCCCCCAGAAAATTACCCTCCCCCAAGGACGGTTCTACCCCTGGACAATAACCCCGGCCCCCCTGAAAAATTACCCCCATGGACAACAATATTACCGGCCAAGACAGTTGCCGAGCAATTGGACAAGATATCATGTGAGACCCCCCCCCCCCCACCCACTCACACACACACCCACACCCGGGATTGATTTTCATAGCAGGTAATTGTCCTCCGGGTAATTGACCGTGGGGGGGGGGGGGCAATTTTCCAGGGGAATAATTGTCCTCCGGGAGTGTTTTGATAGTGGTGGTAATAAGTGGGGGATATGATAAACCAGTTTGCGATTCGCCTCTTGTTCTAGCGCTGTTACGTTTGGTAGGCGAATTTTCCGTGGTCGATGTGTGTAGCTTGCGGAAACAATTCACTACTACAGTACTAGTCTGCAAATTCAGCCGTCACGCTCGAGCCGAATAAATAATCGTATCGAATCGAGGCTGATAAAGGCAGTTTCTCCATCAGGCACCATGAGCAAGTGGCCGAAAGTAGTTTTGTTTGGTGACTCCATAACACAGGTAATGGCTTCTAAGTTCTAGTTAGATCACTCAGCTGAGGCTGAGCTGAAACGCTGGGACATTGGCAAGGCCATGGCAGCAGTTCCCGCGATCGCGAGCGCTGTGTGCCGTGAGCTGTCACCTTCTGCTCCTATCCCATGCAATCTCGCTCTCAGATCGAGTCGACAGGGCAAGGCCCATTGACCAGTGTTGACAGCGAAAAATTCGTTGATTTTATAGCAACAATTTCAATGTTCATCATGGATTAATAATCAGGGCTGAATCAGGGCTGTCATCTTTAGGGCACTGCTTCGAGGGAGATTCTATGCAAATTTTTTTTTGCTCAATGGGGGGGGGGGGGGGGGGGGGGGGGGGGGGGGAGGGGAGGGTACCTTTCGTCCATTTTTGGAGACATACCAAAAATCAACTAAATCTTCATCAATTGTTTAAATAATGGTCATGATTTAAAAGTTGTAATGTTTCTTACCTGTTTTGTGTCAATTTATTCATAAAAACCAAGTCCTTTCTCACACTTCAGTCACAGGTTTCATGCACTCCGAACCGCTGCACAATTACAATACAAATTACAATTGCATACCGACAAAGGGCTGCGGGCGCTGGGCAGGCCTGCGTGTGTGAAGTTAGGGATCATCAAAATGGTTGTCATCGACATGATGTGGACTACATAGAGTCTACATGAATATAGATCTAATGAGGATCTGAGATTACAGTTGATAACTTAACGCACACTTGTGCGCCCGCACCACGCGTGTCGGTCGGTATGCAATTGTATTGTAATTGTGCAGCGGTGAAACCTGTGAGAAAGTGTATATTGTAATGTCTTCGTTTTTAGGAAAAATACTCCGCAAAATATAATGACTTTATATCATGACCATTATTGAAAAAGATTTTTCTTGAAAGCCTGCAAGTAGTGGGTCATTTTCAACTCTTGTAAGGACTAATGTCTATTTTCATGCTGACACCGCTTGAATGGCTGTTCTGAATGCAGATGCCTTGCCAGGTGCCAGCATTATTGAAAAGGGGTCATAACAATCTGTCCTTTAAGAGTACTAAATCAGAATACATTACAAGGCATTGGTATTAAATAAATATGTTAATTTCACCTCCAGTTTTACAGAGGGCAGTATGATGATATGTGTAAAGAGCTAGACCAAATCGAGTGGGAATCTGAATTGGAGAATAAAAGTGTAGAGGATGCTTGGGAGTTCTTTTTAGTCACCCTGACTGAAAAAATGGAGAAGTTCATACCGAAGTCAAAACCCAAACACCGCAGAAAGAAACAGAGATGGATGACTAGAGAGGCACTGAGGAAACAAAGCCAGAAACATCGAGCTTGGAAAGAGGCACAGAGGACCAAACATCCTGTGGACATTATGAGAGCAAGGAGATTAGCCAAGCAGCTGCAAACTCTGACCAAGCAGTTATGTAGGAATTTTGAGAAAGACCTGGCTATGAATGTGAAATCAAATCCCAAGGCATTCTGGAGGTATACAAATAGCAAACTCAAAACCTCTTGCAGACTAGGCGAACTCAGAACTCCGGACGGTGAACGAATATCAACTGATAAAGGAAAAGCGGATGCATTGAACACCTTTTTCGCCACTACATTCACTGATGAGGATAAAGGGCACATTCCAAAACTCCCACCAAGACACAAAGGAGAGACATTGACATCTATCTCAATCTCTGAAGATGATGTTTATAAGAAGCTTGTCCACCTGTCAAAGTACAAATGTGCAGGACCTGATGGCATTCACCCTTGCGTTCTAAAAGAAACAGCCGCCTCAGTTTCAGAGCCCCTCTCCATAATCTACAATGCATCATTGAAGGAAGGCAAACTACCAAGTGCATGGAAGGTCAGTCATGTGGTACCTGTCCACAAAAAAGCCAGTAAGATGGATGTTAAGAACTACAGACCAATCAGCTTGACATCAGTACCATGCAAAATTCTGGAGTCACTCATTCGAGATGAGATAATTGCCCACCTGATGGAAAATGACCTACTGTGTGATGAACAGCATGGCTTTGTTCCAGGACGCTCTTGTGTGACACAGCTTCTGACTGTCATGGAGGCATGGACTGGGATGCTGGATAAAGGAACCCCTATTGATGTGGTATACTTAGACTTCAAGAAAGCTTTCGATAGTGTACCTCACCTTCGCCTTCTATCAAAACTTGAGACATACGGTATATGTGGCCAAATTAAGGAATGGATAGCAGACTTCCTCCAAGGTAGATGCCAGAGAGTTAGAGTCAATGATAAATTATCTGACTGGACAAAAGTAAGGAGCGGAGTGCCGCAGGGTAGTGTTCTCGGCCCAACAATGTTTGTCTTGTGCATCAATGACCTACCAGATGGACTTCAAGGGTCTGTCAAGATCTATGCTGACGACACTAAACTGTATGGCAAAGCATCCACCAAAGATGATCTGTGCTCAATCCAATCTGACCTTGATGCACTAATGGAATGGAGCAATACATGGCAAATGCACTTCAACACACAAAAGTGCAAAGTACTACACATAGGCCCAGGAAACGTCAAACACATCTATGCCCTTGGAGATGATGTCCTTGAAGCTACATCAGAGGAGAAAGATCTCGGCATCCTCATTGATGACGAGCTAAAGTTCCATAACCATGTGGCATATGCTGTCAAGAAAGCCAATGGAGTACTCTCCTGCATCCGTCGCAGCTTTGAGTGCAGAGACAGGTCCACAATTCCAAAGCTGTACAAAGGCCTTGTCAGACCTGTCATAAATTACGGAGATTCCATATGGTACCCTCGCTTCAAGACAGACTCCAAAACCATAGAGAGGGTGCAGAAGAGAGCTACCAAAATGATTTATGACATCCGCAACCGTCCTTACATAGAGAGACTTCGGGCGCTCAACCTTCCCTCCCTCGAATATCGCAGACGGCGAGGCGACATGATTCAGGTTTTCAAAATCATCCATGGACTTGAACGCATCCCAGTTGATACCTTCTTTGAACACTCGACTAGCAACACAAGAGGCCACAGTCTAAAGATCGTAAAACAAAGATGCTCAACGAAGATTAGACAGGATGCATTCAGCCAACGTGTCATCAATGACTGGAACACACTTCCTGAAGAGGTAGTCACTGCTACCACGGTGAATGCCTTTAAAGCCAGACTGGATCGAGTATGGAAGGACAAGTGTTTCTGCTCCCCATATGAGTAGAATACCCGACGCAGAACTGAGCCAGACACTTACCAAGAAGACACCCAACTACGAGAAGGAAGAAAATGAAATTGAACTGGAAGCCCGACTGCTGAGAACACAGCATTCTTCCAGAATCTCGGGTAAAGGTAAAGGTAAAGAAATTTTATAAAACAAGGCAATTTCAGTTTTTACCTACATGTTGTTCGAGATACCTTACCTTATAAATCCAATTATTATTACATTTTGCTTAACTTTTTACAGCGTTCCTTTGAGCTAGGAGGATGGGGTGCATCGATAGCTGATCAACTTCAGAGGTAAACTACTTATGATTTTTATGATAATTGTGAATGAATATTAAATGTTTTTTAGGGAGGCAGCTCAACCCATTTATTTCTGTTTAAAAATTAATTTAAGAGTTTGCACCTTTGAATAGATTAAACAAAATATAGCATATGAATGTCTAGAATCATCACAACCATGCAACACAAGTATAATCGTCAATATACTACACCCAGTACTACCACTACAATCATCATTTGCATCAGCATCAACATTGTCATCATAATTGTCATAACCATCATCATTGTCATCGTCATTTTCATCATCAATATTACCACATATCATGCTTACATCATCGACATCATCATCATCAGCATCATCATCACCACCATCATCATCACCATTGGTAATGATCACTACCACCACCCTTAACAACATAACCATCACTATTACCACCATTATCATCAGAGAGCAGCAGTACCATTGAACATACTCATTATCATCATCACTATCAACACCACCACCACCACCACCACCACCACCACCACCACCCCCCCCCCCACCACCACCACAACACCACACCACACCACACCACACCACACCACACCACACCACACCACCACTACCACATCCCTTCTAATCACCATCAACAACAAAACTCTGTAATACATTATTGATCACTACCAGAACATAACTTGTAATCAGGACAGATATTGAGATAAACATTCTTATTTTATTTTTACTACATTCATTTTTCATTTCCATCTCCAGAAAATGTGATATCATTTGTAGAGGAATCTCTGGCTACAATACTAAAATGGCACGTACTGGCATTCAGTACATTCTTCCGCATGAATTGCTGCAAAATGTTGCCATGGCAACTGTATTCTTTGGTGCGAATGATGCATGTTTACTAGAACTGCAGCCAGATAAGCATGTGCCTGTGGAAGACTATACAGTAAATATAAAGGTATGATTGTGTGATATCCAGACTAGAAAGCAGTCTTTCATTTGTCAGCAGTAATCCTAGACACCTGCTAGGGATGCAAAATGACATTTTGAGCAGGATGATGTAAAACTCTCAAAGATTCACTCATATTTTCTCAATCTCCCTGGCTGCATGTATGCTTGCATTTTTTGTATGCTGTGCATGCTTGTTACTTTTGTTAGCACCAATATTTGATGATATTGTACTGAATTGAATAATGGAGATACTGTAATAAGTGATCAGTGTTACATTTTGTATCCAAAATGGATATATAAAAGACTTTTAGAGCAATCACATCGCTAAGGAAATCTCCTTTTTAACAGATAAAGCTGATCTATGCAGGTATTTATTTATCAAGCTAAAACATGGCTTAAACACATTTGATTTTATTGAGAGAAAATTAAATTTCTCCTATTTTGGATCTTTCAGGAAATGTGATATAGTAAACAGAGGGTTTAGCGGGTACAACTCCCGTTGGGCTCGCATGATCATGCAGACTGCCTTGCCTACTGAACTCCTCAAAGATGCGGTTGCCATGACAGTGTTTTTTGGTGCTAACGATGCTAGCTTGCAAGAGGTGTGGCCATGCCAGTTTGTAGGTGTTCAGGATTATGCTGATAACATGAAGGTACTTAGGATTTAATATTTAATGCTTTGTATGTGCTTTTGTACAATCCTGGTGTCATTGGCCCAAATTCACGAAGGAGGCTTAAATTTAACCCTTGGTTTAAACCCTCATTTACATAACCCATGGTTTGAAAATTAGCGCAAAATAAGCGTACCTTGCCTTGCGCATGTCTAATATTAGACCTCTGATTGTCACGCTTATTTTACGCTAATTTTAGACCATGGGTTATGTAAATGAAGATTTAAACCATGGGTTAAATTTAAACCTCCTTTGTGAATTCGGGCCAGAGGGTTCTACAGTACTTAGGTTTCACTAGTCAGCTCGCACTGACTCTATTTCACACTAAACAGAATTCCATAAAACCAACAAAATTTTGTGAAGCGTGCCCTAGCTGAAATTCATCAGTCTGTGGCTAAGCAGCTTTAGCGCAGGGCATATATGGAACAGAGCCTATATTCGTTTAGCTGAGATAATGGGTTTTGCATAATGGCTGGCAAAGAATTTTGTGTGTAAACTAGGGTTCCAAGGCCCTGTTAAGCTATGTTTATATTAGGGTAAGGTATAGATTTCATGGTAAGTGTTGTACAAAATCATCTTAGCACCCTGTTTGCACCTGGGTAATTGTAATTAGAATTTGTTGCTAACTGTACTGTTCTTATTTATTAACACAACTCATTTAATCTATCTTTAAGTATCTTCGGTTTTATAGTATCCTACCAATTCAAATTATTTTGGTAATTCTGTTGCATTTATTTTATGCAGCCAGTTGGCAGACTGACTATGAAGTAATACATATCTAAGTCATTTGGCAATGCAGGACAGTATGCTCAGCTAGTGATTATTGTCATTAAAACCCAAATACTAATTTGATTGTTCAATTGTTGATACATTTTTGCTTTGACTAAAAAATACAAATGCCATGTTGATTTGGTAGTCTACTGACAAAATTTGAGAAATGTAATTAGAGATCCAACTTTTAACTTTTGTTACAAATACTTTCCAGTGCTACTGATCTCTTTTGCTTGCAAATAAAAAATATCTGATAATGTGTGATCTACACTGTATGAAAACTAGAAATTCTTGGTCTTTCTTTTCCTTCTTACAGGCAATCGTGAACTATCTTGAGAGTAATGGCATCCGCAAGGAGAAGATACTCCTGATCACACCTCCTCCTATAGATGAAGCATTGTGGGGTGCAGGCTGTAAAGAAAAAGGTATATAAATCTATAATTTCCACTCTCCACCCAGGTGTAGTAAATGGGTACCTGGCAGGAAGTACTCTTGAATGCTGGGCTTAAGCTTTGAAGGCTCCTTGAGCACCCCCTGGGATTGATATGTGTGCAATATAAATTTCATCTTTTAGAAATTGGCAGAAGCCTGGACTGTAGGGAATATTGTTATAAATTTGTCAACATTGCTTGTTTTTTTTATTGAAAAATCTATCACAAACATGCTGTCTAGTCACCTTGCAGCCTTTTCAAAAGTCAGCATATATGAAGTCCATTATTTTAGAAGTTCCAGTGCCTGGTTAACAAAATGCCTGTTGAGAAACTGAAAGATATTAAATCAGTCATTGGCAGATGATATAACCTAGTATGTCTGAATGGATTTAATCTCTGTAGTCAATCTTGGTATGAAATAAAAACATTTTTTACAATAAATACTGAAATTTGTTGTGACATTTGTATATCCTACTGAGAAATTTATTCTGTGAACTTCAATCCCTGTGAAGTACTCAAGCTACAGATGGTTTACTCTATTCATCAAGCTATGGATGATATACCTGAACTCGGCTTAGACTGTGTTTTTCATATCACTTAACCCCCCCCCCCCCCAGTAATTCATTATCCATTACAAAACAAACTGCTAGTTTGGTGAAAGAGTCAATCAAAGACATTTGAAAGTAATTTCCATAAATCAAGACTCATCAAATCATTTTGATTTTGTCCCAAAAGTCTCCTACCAGAGAGGCATGTACTGCTGACCCAAACCATCTTTGCTTATTTTCCCCCACCAGGTACAGCTCTGAATAGGACATTAAAGAACTCAGGGATTTATGCCAAAGCTTGTGTGACCCTAGCTCAGGACTTAGATGTGAAGGTCATTGATATATGGACTGCAATGCAGAAAGAAGAGGTAAGGGATGCAAGAAAAAAGGTAACACCATTCTTAAAAAGCACTTGCCCCATGGCAAAAATTACCCCCTCCCCCCCCCCCCATGTTTATGATGATCTAGGTTCCAAGCCCCCTTTGTGCAACCCCTTGTAGATAGACTGTACCTTTTCATTCTCATTCCAGCAGTAAGAAGGAATAGCCTACAACTCCAGACTCAGTGAAACTTATTTAGAATAGATAACAGTTTTATTCCTCCTTATATCTTTGCCGTGCAAATGATAAAGTAACATACTATACAATTTATTCACTTTAGTAACTCACGACTTGATATTATTTTATGAACTAACCTGCGGCATGTTTCATAAAAGTGTTTGTGAATAATAAGGAAATATTTTTAAATTGTCTATCTTCTTAAATTTTTCAATTCTGGATAGCTAAAATATGGTCTTTTTTATTTCAAGTGTACATTAGGTTTTCTAAGAGCATCTTCAAAAGATGATCTCTCATTGAATGATCTTAGCAGGTTAAACGCCCTCCTCAACAAAAAGACAGCGATCAAAATTGTCAAACTCACACCCAGTTCTTGTGTTTTTATTTTTAATTGATTCTCCTTTCCCTCGTTGTTATTTCTTGTAGAACTGGGGTCCACGATTCCTTTCGGATGGTCTTCATCTCTCAGCGGATGGAGCTGGTTTCCTCTACAAGCAGCTCTCTGGTTTTGTAGAAGACTGTACCTCCTCTCTATCTGAGCAGTTCCCTGACTGGAGTGAAGTAGATTATGCTAATCCAGAGAAGAGCTTCCAGCAGAGTTGACGATGCGGTGCTCCCCCATGTTTTATTTTCTCTCCTCAACAATGCCATTGACGGAGGCCATTAGATCAACTGAAATCTTATACTAATTACTGTGTATCCCTCTCTGAAATTTTCTTGTCTACAAATTGGTCATGAGCGAACATAGAAGAGCTATCCCTCAACTATTTTAAAAATATTTGTGACAGCAAAGTAAGATATATATATATATATATATATATATATATATATATATATATATTTTTGAAACTATACTCCCCATTTCCTTGGCAACATATTCAGTGGACAGCCATGCTCTGGCTATTCCACATAATAACTCAAAGAGGCACTGGCTGAGATGTAGGTTCTTACTTTCTTGTATGATAGTCTATACATGAGATAACTTGTATTTCATTATTAAATCTATTTAGAGTTTTGTGACAATATTTGTTGCTAAAAGCAGTCTATGAATGTCTCAAATACCATTTGTGTGTCTTTCAACTTTTTTTTTAAAGCTCTTGTTTTAAAAAGAAAATTAATCTTTGTATTCATAGTGATCTTTTTCATTTTGCCAATTTAATACCAAGCACTTGGCTTGTCCATTTCATGTGAAGATAACAAGATACCACTTTATTGAAGTATGTACCATGGTATGTTACAGTCCTTATCAGAATTCAAAAGAGCACTAATTGTGGCTTATAGATTGAAACTCTATTGTAAAAATGTTTAAAGTATACCGATCACCCAAAAAACATATTTTGTTCTGTATATTAGTAGTTCCCTGTCATAATACTATGTTCAAAATATTAGTTTCTAACCTAACTTCTGTAAAAAGATTTCACAAGTTTGAAGTCTCAATTAACATTAAAGCAACAAGTGAGGGTAACAAGTGAATAAAATAGGACCCACGCGGTGCACAATTGTGTTATTCTTTATTTTCTTCATCTGGTACTCCTTATCCGTTGGCCCATAGAAAGCCATGTGAAGTTATTTGAGGTTGATTTTATACATTCTAGCTGTGCACAAAATATTTTTTCTAATTCACAGCGTTTTGAAGTGTTAAATGAAGTAATAAAATCTGCAAGACCAAAGCTTTTGTTCTTTTTTGGATAGCATCACATTCTGTGCAGCTTCATGGAATAATAAATGGTGTGAAAGAACAAGGCAGTATTGCATCCTGTCTGGCCCTAGAGAAATTCAATCTGGCTCTATAGCAATTTAGATTCAGTAGGTGTTAAAGGATTATGATAGGCAATGGTGAGGAAGTTTAACAATATATCAAACTGAAAGTCAGAGTCATGGATGTGACAAATACCTGCGTTTGTTTTCGATCACCTTTGTAGCAGGAGTAAAGGGCTGGTGACATCTAATCAAATAATAATGATAACACTGGTAAAGTTATGTCACTTTCCAGTCCCAGAAGAAATAAAATGTTTAGTGTGCTTTAACCAGTGAAAGTTCAATGTTCCGCGTTAACCGTATGCACAGGGTAGCTAAGATGGATTTGTTATCTTTTTCGTCGGCCGGCTGGCAGAAGGGCGTTAGTGCGCGAGCGACTCGAAAACTACTTTTCGAATTATTCGCATTTAAAAATTTGTTTTATATTCAAACTGCTTTCCGTCTGGAAACGTGGTTTAAAACTTAACAGACTAATAGAAATGTTATAGTAGAACACGGCCACAATTTTTTTTTTTGAAGTAAGTAAGTTTTATAAAAGTTTGTGGTGGTTTATTGCTAACGCCCTTCTGCTTAATGTTTCATTTTTGACCTGAAATTCGAGCTAACGCCCTTCTGCCACCCAGGCGACGATTTATGCAGGGGATATTATGTTCAATGGTTTTATGGTCATAAAAACTTCAGTGAATAAGGATTAAGGTCCTGGTAGTAGGCATTTCATTTACATCAGCACAAATTGTTTTTCAAATACGTGTAAAAGGTATGTGACTAATTCCATCATTTCCAAATAGATATTTCATTGAACATTATAACAGGTTTTGTGAGGGTTATATTTTTATACTCTTTATTATTAGACAACATACATGCCAACTGTTCAGATTAAAGAGGAACATTCCTCTTTTTGGGAGAAGATAATTATCATTTTAATGCAGGTGTTCCTCTTCCTGTACAAATTTGTCTGTAGTATTGAATAGGAGAGTTAGGATTGTTCCTCTTTTTTTTGAAAATAGCATAATTTGTACAGATTTCTGATTTTCAAATGTTGGCATGTATGAGACAATATTTTATACACTGAAAATTTTGTAGAAAGCTATTAAAAAAATGATTATACAAAATTACCTGTCTTCCAGTTTACATTGTTTCTGTCTGCATTTGTATTTGATTTATACATGTAGTGAGCAAGACTAGATATTGCAGCCTGCAAAGTTAAGTAATGCACTTTCAAAGTGAGATAATAAGTGCTTTTTGTCTGTGTGATCAGTAAGAAACCAAAATTAGATTTTTATGTGGCAAAAATCTCATTTCCTTCTAGGCATTTCCTTTCGTCTGTCCCACTTTCTTGTTATCTTGATATCTCAAGAACCACTAGAGATATGGGGTTCACATTTGGTAATAGTATGTATCATACATAGGAAGACATTCTCATTAGATTTAAGGTATGTATTTCAAAGGTCACAATGATAAATTTTTAAAACTAAAGGTTTTGGGCCCTGCTACTGCAATGTCTAAACATGGTGACAGTATTACTTTAGGAAGATGATCAAAATTCAATACATTTTGGGGCTAACGGGTCAAGATCATAGTCGTCAGTTGACATTTGATTATAGGCTTTGGGTGGTATTCTCGAAATCGGACTAACTTTAGTCCATGGTATAATCCACCGACTAAGTATGGAATGACAAGTGTCCATAAGAATTTATTTTTGAATAATTTGATATGTCCCTAAATTACAATAACATAATTATATCAGTTATATTGTTGTTTATTAATTTAAGTTATTACATTTTAGTTTAGTTGAGTGACAGCTTCAATTATTCAAAAACATATAGACTCTTGGCATTCCATACTTAGTCGGTGGATTAAACCATGGACTAAAGTAAGTCCGCTTTCGAGAATACAACCCTTTATGCTTTCATTGTGATATGTCACGCATAATTCCATCTATTCCTAATGACTAATTCCTATGCTGAATTTGGGTTGGAAGCATATACATGTATACATGTAGTAGGAGACGCAGTTGCATTTGTTGTGTCTATTACACTGACTTCAGGGTATTTGATCCCTACCCTTCACACCACCCTCTCCCTCCACCCCACCCTCCCCTCTCCCCCTTCATCTCTCCCCTCTCTCCCCTCCCCCCCTCTATCTCTCTCTCTCTCTCTCTCTCTCTCTCTCTCTCTCTCTCTCTCTCTCTCTCTATCCCTCTCTCTCTCTCTTTCTCTCTCTCTTTCACTTTCCCTCCCTATGGGTTGTAAAAATTATTATTTTATTGTTTAGGCCAAAATTTCTTGTTTTAATCAAAATCAAAGATTGAGGAGGCGCGTTAGCTCAGTCGGTAGAGCAGTGGTCTCGTAATCCGGTGACCTGGGTTCGAATCCAAGGCGATGCGCTAGTGCCCTGGGCTGGTAAGGCATTAATCCTCATTACCAGGTCCCTCAGAGAGGACCTAAAGCCGTCGGCCGTCTGGTTGCTTACATACAAGCATTTATGCTTTCTTAGCAGTCAGGTAAAATAACCACTACCACCACCAAAATGAAATTTTCTTGAGCATATTATGCTCTTGTAATGAGCAGCATCTTGGAAGTGCAGGCAATTCAAGTTTGAGGATATTAATTATTATCCCGACATTTACTCAATAATGTACTCCCTTGTTGAATCGAACAAGAGAGTAGATGCAATATGCCCTCTGTTCTTGGCCCGATCCTGGCTTTCCTCCGATTAAGGAAGTCCTGCATGTATAAGATACAAACAAAAAAGAAAAATCTTGAGTTGGATACCTGGATAACATTATGATTGATTATAACTTGAATTCATTGTACCTCATCCATAGGATACATAGAAGTAGAGGTAGAGGGTGAGAGGAAAAGAGGTAGAGGAAGAGAGAGAGAAAGAGAGGGGGAGAGAGAGAGAGAGAGAGAGAGGGGGTGAGAGTTGGATGTGCAAACCCATCCCCCTTAAAAAGTAATAAGATGAAAACTTGGACGACAAGTTTTATAATCTTGGATTCATCTACAAGACAGAGGTATTATGATTGTTGCTAATGAAGAGAGAAATAGTGATGGAGCTATAGTGACAGAAATGTAGATGTGATTCGTTGTCTTGTGAAACAAAACAATACAAACAAAAGTTCTGAGGTTGAAACTTGGATAATGTGATTATATTATGAAATACATAATACTTCATCAAAATGTTGAAGCTATGGGTTGAGAGAGAGAGAGAGAGAGAGAGAGAGAGAGGGGGGGGGGAGGAAGGAGGGAGAAACGATGAGGATGTTAAATTAAAAAAATGCATCAAGCATGACATGAGGATGAAATTACAAATTTTATGACTCGTATGAAACGTATTAAAAATGAATAAGTTGCAATTTAATTAGGCCTAGCTAGTGCCTTTTCCACTACTGATACAAAGCACTAAAAATTCATTCGTCTCAAAGCATGAGCTTTTCCATTGGCGTCGAACAATTTATTGCCATCATTTTGACAAATTACAAACCTCCACTGCTACCCAATGCACCCCTAAAAGGCGAATTGGAAACAAACAGTAATTTGCCCCTCCCCCGAATAAAGTCATTTATGAAGAGGTCTTCAAAATGTACAATAATATTCATTTTTTGGAAAAAATAAGCATATATACGGCCTACAAGTTTCTTGAAAAATGAACAAATGAATCATTGCCATTTTTTCAAAATGTTGATATTTGTGGGTTGTGAGTAATTAATAGTAACCTATTCTTTCTTTATGGAATATAGAATAACAATCATTTCTAAAATAATCACTATAATATGCTTCATATTGGGGTGATTATTATTTTTCTTCTCCAATTGCAAATAAGCCAAGAATCACGGAGTGAGAAGTTTTTAAAGAAAATTACAGAAACGGTAAGCGGTTCTCCTTAGTTCTGCTTTATTCTTTCGACAGATGGGTCTTGGAATCATAGTAGAGTTCGATTTAACAGGAATATCATGCTATGGCCATGCTTGGTAAATATCTATGCCATTATAGCCTAAGTTGGGCTATAACGGTTTGTGGGATTTTGGGAAGCCTTTTTGTTCACTTCAGCTAGTCATGGACATGGTTGGATTATTTGTTTTGTGATGTCCTTATCATCGATTTGAACTAACTCCCTCTTCCGTTGAATGATCAATACAATAGCAATAATGACGTCACACATTTGAAATCGGTCAACATGGCGGTACTCTCGATACTAGTCAAAACACTAATGGCTAGCTACTAACGACGATTGCACTCGGCTTCCAATGAAAATATGCACGAAATTTGGAGCTTAACAAGAGGATTGCATTCTACAGTGTTAACAAAGGAGGGTGAGTAACCATCATATAAATGCTATGACCAGTTTTTTTGGGTGGTAACCAATGTTAAGTCCGTCAAAAAAAAAGCCAGTGTCCGTGTACAGCTGCCGTGATGAGAGACTGTGTGTTGTGTGTGATGTATATGTGCGAGGCCGAGGGAGGGCATCGGAAGCGGATACCAGCGCGGAGCTAAGGCCAACTGCCCTGGGCTTGGGCCCGTCTCCTCCGAGTTCCAGAGCGGGTCACACTGGTAGTTAGTAGCCGTTGTTGCCGACTTTGGCCCGCCTGAGCTTTGGGTTAGCACAGCCGTACTAGGAGGTCCACTATGCTCTACATCAATTTCAAGGTTTTAATGAGGGTGTTTCTTTTTTCAAATCTGCATTCAACGTGTTTTCCTCAGGTTGATTGGCAGATGTTATCAAGTCGATTTGGTAAAAATTATTTCAATAGGGTCTAGAGTAAAGGAGCCGGTAATCGGCCAGCTCCAGTTTTCGGCCGATTGGTTGGATGCGAGGTAAAATCACTCTAAAATACATCGCATAATAGCATAACACATATCCCACACATACCATACCATGCCAGTGTCACTGAAGAACCACATTTGCAATGAAAAATATATCCTAAAATATCACGTTTTAGCGATGTAATCAGCGGTCCCGCTACCCGAATCTGAAAAATCGAGTATCTTACGCGTGTCTGTAAGAAATATGGGTACCATAAAATGAGCTTTATTTCAAGTATTTTTCAGATTTAGAGCCCGATTTTGTGCTAGTCGCAAGCTCAAAAGTATCTCATCGCATGTATTAAATCAATGCAGCCGCACACCGCAACGCACACACGATATGTCTGTCTAATTCAGATTCCAACTTCCGATCACCGCTGTGCCTGTCTTTGGCCAGGCAAGCACCAGGGAGCTCCGGCGTGGGATACCTGCTCCGCCCGCTTGTGCTGTACATCAGCGCGGAAACGCACGGCGCGCGCAAGCGCTTCCTATTGACTTTGTACATGTGGCTGTAAACTGAAACGCTCGGCCGATAACGCTCCAAAACAGTGAAAATTGAAATGAATATTGTCATGGCAATTCGTGATTTTTTTCTGGGATTCTTTTTTTGTTTAAATAATAATAATATTTGCTTCATGATTTGAACAAGAAATGATAATAAATAGGAAGTAAAGAGTCCAAAAAATAGGATTTTGTCTTAAGTGGCCGAAAACGGGCTCCTTTACTCTATTTGTTTTGTTTTGTAAATTTGCCTATCTGTTTCGGTGGTCAGAAGCCCAATAATTTTTTGAGTGGATCATGTTACAAAAGCTTATGAAAATACAAAGTCGACAGTTAATATTAAAAGTAGAGTAAAGGAGCCGGTTTTCGGCCACTTAAAACAAAATTCTATTTTTTGGACCCTTTACTTCCTATTTATTATCATTTTTTGTTCAAATCATGAAGCAAATATTATTATTTTTTAAACAAAACAAGAATCGCAGAAAAAAATCACAAAATGCCATGACAATATTCATTTCAATTTTCACTGTTTCGGAGTCAGTTTTCGGCATAGCGTACCAGTTTTCTGCCGCATGTACAAAGTCAATAGGAAGCGCGGGCACGCGCCGTGCGTTTCCGCGCTGATCTATAGCACTAGCGGGCGGAGCAGATATCCCACGCCGGAGCTCCCCGGAGCTCGCCAGGCTGAAAACTAGTACTGCGGTGATCGGATATTGGAATCTGAATTAGACAGAGATATCGTGTGTGCGTTGCGGTGTGCGGCTGCATTGATTTAATACATGCGATGAGATACTTTTGAGCTTGCGACTAGCACAAAATCGGGCTCTAAATCTGAAAAATACTTGAAATAAAGCTCATTTTATGTTACCCATATTTCTTACAGACACACGTAAGATACTCGATTTTTCAGATTCGGGTAGCGGGACCGCCGATTACATCGCTAAAATGTGATATTTTAGGATATATTTTTCATTGCAAATGTGGTTCTTCAGTGACACTGGCATGGTATGGTATGTGTGGGATATGTGTTATGCTATTATGCGATGTATTTTAGAGGGATTTTACCTTGCATCCAACCAATCGGCCGAAAACTGGAGCTGGCCGATTACCGGCTCCTTTACTCTAGACGATCAAATATTTGATCTAGATGATTATGATAAAAGAAATGTTTTTGAATATGATATTTCTACTGACTAGATATTAATAAGTGTATGTTTAAGGCTATTTCAATTCGGCTGATAAAGATTGCGCTAGTGTACTTTCATATTCATTTTTTTACCCGTAACTCCGGCGTAGGGTCTACTCCGTACTAAAACATACCAAAAATCAACTAAATCTTCATCAATTGTGCAAAATAATAGTCATGATTTAAAATTCGTTATGCTTCTTACCCATATTGTGTCAATTTTCTTATCTTTTTTGGAGTATTTTTCCTAAAAACAAAGACATTATAATATGCACTTTCTCACAGGTGTCACGGCAAGCTGCTGCACAATTACAATTGCACACTGTGCGTGAAGCTGGCGACCATAAAAACTTCACACACGCTCGCAGGCCCGCACCCCTTCTTCGATCGTTACAGTATTATGCAATTGTATTTTGGACTGTGCAGTGGTTTGGCTTGAAACCTGTGAGAAAGTGTATATTATAATGTCTTTGTTTTTAGGAAAATACTCCAAAAAAGATAAGAAAAGATAAGGAAATATCGTTTTGATTTTAATAGGGTCTAATATCCAAAGAAAAGAAAGATGTGTACAGTGGGAGACAAAAAAAAGTTTACACCTAGAAAATTGCTAATTATTATATTAATCATCTATGAACAGTAAATTAGTATACATCCTATGAAAGAGTGCTTTATCCCAAATCATTTAGTATCATTTTTGTGTGGTATGACTTATGTGTTCATGCTTGGATGAACAGGAGGCATTGTTTGCGAGAGTGCAAACATCGACTTGCGCCAAAGTTGCTTATGTAATGTTTGAATGCAACAATTGGGATTTGGGTATTAATTCGGTCATTGCAGATCCAAATAACATCCCTATTAAACATAATGAATCATGTCACACATAATATCACATAGACGTAACAATTGTGCGCGCGTGTGTGTGACTTTGCTTCTGCAAAAATATGCAATGCATCTCATTTGATACATTCAATTCATTCTCTCACTTTAATCCCAACATATCACATACTTTAGGCCTCACTTTGGAGCAAGTTGATTTGTGCACCCTCGCAAACAATGCCTCCTGTTCATCCAAGCGTGAACACATACCACACAAAAATGTTACCAAATGATTGGGGATAAAATGCTCTTTCATAAGATGTCCAACAATTTACTGTTCATAGATGATTTATAAACTAATTAGCAATTTTCTAGGTGTAAACTTTTTTTTGACTCACACAGTAGTGACAGAAAATCTTTCCGCTTATACATTGTACATGTACAAATTAAAGGGTTCATGATTAAAGACCATTTAACAGAAAAAAAACAGGATTTGATATATAAGCCTGTATGAAGGTACCTTCAGAAAAAGTTGCCAGAAGTAATCATCAGCAACAACAAAAAATATAAAAGAAAAAAAAGAAGAAGAAATTTTAGAGAAGAAAGTGAAGAACATGGATCAAGTTGTTTTGGATTTATTACTTAAAGTTAAGGGATGTTATTTTGAATATTTAAAAAAAAAAAAAAAATCTTTATTTTGGTGATATAATTTCAGTTTGGCTCAATACATGGCTTCCCAAAATTCCTAGCCAATATTTCTGAAAATTTCACAAATTTTCTTTTCTGATATTTTGCTGTCGTGTAAGGTCTGACTAAACCATACATTTGTAAAACTATTATATATTATAGAACACATGTTCTAATGTTTATACAGGCCAGTAGATAAAAAAAGTTGGACTGGTATTTCTAGGCTCCATAATCAACACAAACAAAATAATACTCTAGATTAATTCTCAATACAAAAACAAAAACTGGGATTTTAGAAAATAGTTCCCAATTGCAGCAACTACAAAGGGTAAAATTTTATTTTAAAATTCAGTACAATACCAATATAGAACCCATGCAGGAGGTCAAAGAGTTTCCAAATTGTTGCATTGATTCCAATGTAAGAAAACAAAACTTAACTTTTTAAATTTACCTTTCTGATTGTTATCGGACATTCCACAAATGTTTACTGAAATGTGCTGCTTTTACTGTATTAAACTTAGGAGGGAGGTTGTCACTTAAAATGAATACCCGGTATGCATTTCCTAATCAGTGTTGATTTGTAGTTGAATAGGAAAGGTGGGTCCTTTACACATTACTAAATATCAACTAAACTGGATATTCCTTAGCATTACTAGTATCAGACGAAATAAAATTGAATTGAATTATACAACATTTATCAAAGATCAAAAAGTGTCCCTGTTTGTTTTGTTTTGTTTTGTTTTGTTTGTATGTTGATAACATCCAGTAGATTATTAGGTGCACACCCTACATGTAAATGTCAAAACTCATTCTTCCACTCATAGTACTCAACCCAATGAACCCGTACAACAGAACGTATGATAACTTGGCCTCAACTTAAATATCAGCATGCTCATGGATAAATAGATTCATCAAGAGCACTATGAAGTCATGATCAAAGTAAAGGGTTGCCGGTGCAGACATCTGGTCTTGTCACACAGTGTTGATCAGCTGTTAAACTTAATGGCTTTTCGTCTGTGGCAAAATGATATTCAAATCACTAGCTACATGTACATGTACATGTACTGTACATTGTAGGTCTGTTTAAGTTATGAAGTAAATCTACTCTGCCATGGCTCCATAGTTCAAAATATGATCTGTAACTGAAAGTATTTTATTGTATATTAATTTAAAACGTATTGTGAGTTGATATTTGGAGTTGTCATTTGTAGTTCTACACAAACTCTTTCAGAAAGGATTTGGAATGGTTTGTCTGAATGAAGCCCCTGTTTAAAATTTGAGGGAGTCATAATTTTGAGACCATTTAAAACTGAACCATTCAATATTTTGCAAAATGTTTAACAGGAAACCGAAAAAAATAAGAGATAAATTAAAGTCTGTCCATAAGGAGTACAGTATGTGGCTATGTGCATGAAGTACATTAGAGGAATGTGTACGGTACTGTATGTCAGTGGCGAAGCTTGTTAGATGTTGCATGGTTTCAGGAAAAAAAACATATGACTCAGCCCTAATGTAAGTACACATATTTAAAGCTGATGTCACTCAGCATGAATCCCCAAACATTAATCAGTCATTGGTCTTCTATTAAAAATAAAAACAGCCCTAAATGGAACTGAGGTTGTTTAAAAGCTTTTTTGAATTACATGTAAGAGATGATTTAATCAGTACATTTAATTGCCTTCAGGATAAGAAGTCTGGTCTTTAGTGATCCGTGATACTGCTTTCTTAAACTCTTTTAAATCAAAACTAAAAAAATACTTCATCTGTTTTTAAATCTATAATAATATTTGCATGTTAATACGTCTCCTATGTTTTGAACACTGTTTTGTTATTGTTATACTTTTTATAGCCAATTGTTAGAACTTGTATATGTATCTTTTAATAAAAGGGAGCTGCCTCGACAGAACCTTATGGTTTTATTTGCAGTTTCCCCAATTCATTTCTATTGCTGTTTAACTTTTTATAACTCCGATATATTTGTAGACATGTTTCCATTTTGTGTGTATTTTGTGTTTTCTATATTGTATATAATCTGTATCATATATGTTTTTATGGATTTGAATTGAAATAAAACTTGAACTTGAACTTGAACTTGAACTTGAAAATTCTCTATTAAAATTGTTGGATTGTATGAATTTCAACTTATTAGCAGACATTCATACTGTTGAAATGTTACACTTGTTGACATTAACACTATTTTTTCTTATTTCTACAGATTACATGTGAACACCCTGTTGTCTGAAGAGGGAAATACCTTCAAGTGCTGCTATTTTAGGTTTCGTTTATGATCATCAAACCGGAAGTCACACAGGAAGAGTATCAGTATACGTCCATCTAATCTGAGAGAACATTAATAGTTCATAGCTGCTCAATAGTAGGAAGAAAATAGATCAGACACTGCAGAGACAAGATACATATAAACCATGTAACAAAAAGGGTTTCCTGTCAAACAATTTCCAGACTACATGCATTTTATTCTTTGAGCTCATCGCCCTGCAGAGGAAATATCTATCCTGTAGTGCTGCAGGATTTTTTATACTCGTGAATTTGCCTCCTTTGGAGGGGCCAGACTGTGGACATGGCAGGGAAGACGTTGGATGACATCTTCAATGATGTTCTGAAGCAGGACACTACGTCCAAGTTTCAGGCTTCAGAGGATTTGCAGAACTATCTCCAGGACAATGAGAATTCTATGCATTGTGACAACATGGACAGATTGGTGGATGCCCTGGCAGGATGGGTCAATAGTAGCAATTTCAAGGTGAGCATTTTCCCATGCAACCCCTTCTTAGTTTAGAGCTAGAAGAGCAATAACTTCTATACTTTTTAACCTAAAAGTTAAGACTGAACCGCCAATAAAATAATACTCTCTGTTTGTGCAGTATTATTACCGGTAAAGAAAAGGGACAATCATAGAAATAATGACAGCGAAAGAAGAAAAAAAGGAGGGAATATTTCTGGTACACAAGTTGCAGCAAGGAAAAAATTTGTTTCATTTTTGTGAATATATTCTTTCCCCCTGAGATGCCCTTCATTATTTTTTTTTGCCTACAGGCAAAGCATTCTAATATATAATTTGTCAAATGCTGTAAATTATGCCCAGTCGCAGTGCAAGGCATGCACAACAAACAACAACATAAAGGGGAGGAGAGGACTTTGGGATCCCTAAACTCCAAATTCCATGATTTTCATAATTTGTGTGCATAAATGTATGGGAGGTAGAAGCTCCATCACAAATGTGATGCTATCAGCTGATAATGCATAATTCTGCCTGGCAGACAGGTCGACATCTAGCCAAAGTGTGAATAAAATGGAAATGATGCATTTAGCTTTCAGAGCTCTAGTAGTACGGTAGCCTAAATTCAAGACCCTGGTTCATATCTATTTGATGATAAAGCTCCCCAGGAATAAATCAAGTGTCTGCCTCTATTACATGTAACATAAGTACATAACCTCTCTTCTTATTCGTGCACTAGTCTAGTACACATGTACAGGTGTACAACGTACATGTACATTTTGCACACAAAGTGAGAATTTTTCTATTTCTATCTTCAAGCAGATTCTTTCACTTTCATTATTTTGGACTACATCTGTCGATTATGTATGTAGCATATAATTGGGTGTACATATCTGGGTAGAATCTGTATTTACATGTAAGGCCTTCACATAGCCATGCAAATCTCATGCCTTTCTTTTCAAAAGATGGATGATGGATCTCATAGTACCATGAATCAAAAGAAGGAAAGCATTCTTGAATGACTCATTTGTTATATTAAACATGAGAGTGATAATTCGCTGTGCATGTCACTATCCACTATGTCTCCAGTACATAATGTACATCATGATGTATATTTGCGAAGGTGTGGTTGAAGTACCGACAGGGATGAATTACAATGCACTTGCCCGACCTTGACAGCACTCTATGTGTGTAGAACATACACTGTACGAAAACTACTACATGTACAATAAACTACAAATATTTGATTTCTAAAAATGAAACACGCATCTAAGATGTACGTGTAAACATCTGATTTTTTAAAGTCAGAATTTGTGCATGTGTACTGTATGTACACAAACAAACAGTCAAACAGTCCTGTTTGGGTAAATGTACAGGGTATACAGTCGTACATGTATACTGCAAATTTTGTACAAGGGGAAATGGGAGAGTCTCATGCTATTGCAGGTGTCATTCATGAACCAACATAACAACTTATCTAAAGATTTTGATGTACAGTTTTTAATGTCAGAAACTGATATTTTGATGACATGCAAAAGTGCTGACGGAACTCTGTGCTTGTAGTCCCCAAATTTCATACCACAATACATAATTTTCAAATCACAAATCATAATTTTCACATGACAAACATTACATTTCAACATACGCTTTGAAAATTATGTTAGCTTTTCAACAAAAATGTTTATTTTCTTAACGTTCTTGTTTTTTGCTTTTGTATTCAATTATTAATAAAATGATTTATTAGTACTTAAAATAAAAAATGTTAGATTAGTTGTATTTACAAACATGTACATGTACATGTATTGTATATTTATTTCTTTCCCACATAACATCTTGCAGTAGGATACAAAGCTTACATGAACATGTATGTTTTCAAATGTTCTTGTGATTGTTGGGTTGAGTTTGTATTATTGTATTACAGTATTTACATGTTTATCTTATTTATCTTGTTTCTCAGATATCCCTCTGTGGTCTTGAGTGTCTACTGCTGCTTGTCGATAGAATAGGAGAAAAATTCAAGAATCATATAGGAACAGGTAAGTTTATGACATCAAATTTTGTTTTTTTCAACCCTTTAATTAAAACCCTGCATGTGAAATACAAGCTCACAGTTATATATATGTTCCTGAGAATTTGTAGGATTGACACAGTAGTGGAGGTGCTCTAATGGTAAGGGATTAAGGGTGTGATTAACAAAAATGCAGCTATTTCTTGGCAATATTTGAGAAAGTATTTTTCTAATAGGTAACATGTCATCTTTTGGGAGCTACATCAGAATGGTAAAACTTCTAACTATTTTAAGTTTATGCCCTTCAGTTCACACCAGACAATCTGCCTAGAGAAAATGTATATTTTGATCCCGTTACAGCTGTCATTAAGATGAACAACCAGCCGTACATCTGATCTATTTTATTGTAAGAAACAGTGAGATAATGTTTATGTACACATGTCCACTGCATATACAATGTATTGTAGCCTTAGATTACCACCTTAATGTACAGTGGTAGGGAAATTTCCGGTCGGTAACTAATCGTTATAGGTGTGGAGGTTGATAATGGAGAGAATTTAACTAATTTCCTATTTACTTCACTTCAGTGCTAGGCCACTAACCCTTTTGCACTTAAAAATAAACTGACCACTACATGAAAGCATTTAGTTGATAACGAACTAAATCTTATGTGTAGGCCTTACATTGGAGGTGAAGAGATCGAGCAAGTGTCATACAATTTAGTTTTTTTAAATATCTAAATTTCTGAATATGAAGTTACTTGAATAAAATCCTTTAGTCATACATGTATGTATTTGAAAGTACTGCAGAGATGAAAAACTAAAGAAATTTATGAAGTGAGTTGGAGGATTTGACCTTGCTTTAAAATGTCACATGCCCTCACTGAAATAAAACAAAATGTATGTATTTGTACATGTGTGTAAATGAATGTCAAATATTGTAATAAGGTTAATGTGATTGCATACATTTGGATGATTCTGTCAAAGTTATTTAGAATTGTAGCTACATGTCTGTTGATTGATATGGGATCACAATTGAAAATTAATACCTGGTAAACCCTCTCTGCCATTGTGAGAATTTTTTCATGAATAATTTAAACTATTTTGATTTATTGTCTCATTTGTCTGAAGGGTATTTGTACATATAACAAAGCATTGCCCAAACATTTGCATTCAGCTAGCTCATAAGCAGTGTTATGAACTGTTAGTATGGCAACTACAAAGTGACAAGTGGATTCAATTCAAAACGTACTCTTACATACTGTACATAAATGTTCAGGTAAAGCTAGTTATTTGAGCCTTTAAAAGCAAATACAAGTTAAGAGGGGAAACCTGCACAAACAGATCTATCAATTCAATTCCTTGTTTTGTTTTCCCCAGGGAATTTGTGTGTGTGTTAAGTACACATAGTCAAATTAATAGTAGGTGCAGTTTAGTCAGGCCTTACTGTTCTTTCATTGTTCAGGTTTACAGTGAATTAAAATATTAAAAGAATTACATGTAGGTTAAGCATGTTTTTGGAAGTTGCTTCTGACTTCAAATAACAATAGGCCATGCTACATGTATGAGTATGAGCCATGTTCTACGTCATGATTTTCAAAAGTAGAATTTCCTAATGATTTATGTTTTTTGTATTGTTATTGTTATAAGTATTGGTGTGTACTGCAAGGTTCTGGAATCATCAAAATGATAAGAAATATGGCCCAGTCTTCGTAAAGTTACAAGCATTGTACACAGAAAGATGTATACGCACACGTGCGCGACACGTGCGTTTATCTCTCACAGACCATGTAGATAAACTAATTTACCAAGTATATCAATTAGTAGGCGGTTTCCCGGCAAAATTGTTATCATCATGTATTAGTCAAAACATATTCTTTCACATGATTGGTAATAAGAGCTTCCATTTCATTTTTTGAAATTGGGGCGTTTCCAATACTGGTCTTTACCTTTAAGGAAACATTTATAAGGAAGCATTCATATTTTAAAATGCATTAAGATCTGCAGACTTGCAGTGCAACATTTATTTTAATTGTACATGTTCCCTTGCCGCTAAAGTGTTGATTGTAATTCACAAAAAACATTCATTGCAGTGTTTTGATCAAGGGAACTACCTTTGTTTTATCATAATTTGATCATGAATCACATTTTCAGTGATTGGAAATTTATGAATTATGAGTCACCACCGTAGCAGACTTGAGACGGAGTGGGATACTAATATGTACAGTATAGCAGTCCAGGGTGAATCATGTTGTGACGATATTTGAGAAGCGGTGAAGTGGTCTCCCTTAGGACCACGATTCTGTGGGTTTATGGGGTGATAGCTGATCATTATCATGGAATACATTTGTTAGCATTAAAAGATGGATATACCTCTGAAACAGACTTTTCAACCATCATTGTACAAAGATTGAAAAAAGAAAGGAAAGAAGAAAAGAAAGAAGAAGGAAAAAGGGCCTTTTTATGGGGGGGGGGGGGGGAGAGGGAGGTATACTTTTCAGTGTTCAGTGTAGTCATAGTATATGATTAAATAAAGCAAAACAAAAGAGAAATCAAACAAAACATCCCTCCCCCCCCAAAAAAAAAAAAAAAATAATAATAATAATAATAATAATAGTAATAATGATAATAATGCTAATAATAATGCTAATAATAATGATAATAATAAAAAAATCAAATGAAAAAAAGAAGTAAATAAAAAAAATTTAAAAATTCAACATGACAAAATGTTTGACCTAAAACAAAGTATGCATGTTTGATTCAATACACCTGCATGGGTGACTACAGGTATCTGGATTACTACAGGTACATGTATCTGGATTCTGCAAACTACATGGACATTTTTACACAGTACTTGTGATGGAAAATATTGATTCATACTGTACATGTAGCAGCCTAGATTTTAGTTAAGGTGGATACATGTAATGTATTGTATCATGTCCTTGTACATGTACTACATGCTTGTGTTAGTATTTTTAAAATAAAATGTAGTATGATTTCCCTCAATACAATTGGCAGTAATCTGTACATCTTTTTTTTTTTTTGGAGAGATTTATGCAGTTCTTACACAAATCTTGAACCAAAATGTAAATTATGGATTGTTTATTTTGTGTACATGTATATGAGCTTTAGCAATTCATTAATGTTTAACATCGATATTTGCCTGCTGCTACTGTACATTATGAATGTGCCACAGTATTGGTGTCCTCACATACACAACCGTGGCCGAGACTTGTAAGAGCATCTTTTATGCAGTCAGCATACAGTTTACGGAACCCTAGACAGAGAAAGAGATAGAGCGAGAGCTCAAGACTGTTGGTGAAATGCTAATGAGTCGTTATTGGGGCACGTACAAGGTTGTTCTTCTCCAAGCTCTCATAAACTCACAGAAAGATTTGTCTAAGCTTCAACAATGATTCCTTTTCCTCAACTACTGCTGATCAATTTGCATTATGGCATAAGTAATCCACAGTTTTATTCCACTTGAATTACAGGTGTCTCTTTCATCTGAAGTAACACATATTGACTTTTCTTTTTTCACAGAATAATGTACATGTGTACTGTATTTTATTCATTTTCTTTTAATATCCTTACAGTTTTACCGGCAGCACTTGACAGATTGGGAGATAGCAAGGAGCAGGTGATTATAACATTATGGATTTAATTGTATTAAAGAAAATCTGTCTTGACATTTAGGCTATGGTGTGAATTTGAGTAGAGGAACAACCATATAGAATAAATGATTAACCATGGACATCTACATGTAAGTCTAAGAGAGGGGAAGAAGTAGGGAGGGCTGTGAGGTGCCTCAGAGAGAATGTGAGGGAAAAGAGATGAACAGATTTATAAAAAAGTTAATCCTAAAGAAGTGTTTTCTTACAGAAGGACAGTACAGGAACTACTTCAGTTCCTCTGGAATCAATGTTTTAAAGATCCATATCTATTGATTGATTCCACTATAAATATGACAAATATTTGAGGTTCTTTAGAGATCGTTAAATTGATTTTTCTTTCAAATATGACTTTCAAAGGTCTGTTTTCAAGGTATTGATATTAATACTGTGTTATAACAAATACTGTTATTTTCAGACTTCTTGATTTAAAACAATTCTTGTTTTCCATCCAGGTTCGAGAACATTCTCAAGCTCTCATTCAAAAGCTGATGTCACCTGCTTCTGCACCACAGGTATGTCCAACAATACTTACCAATGAATTATTTCTGTCAACCAGTCGGTACATCAAAAAGTAACCTGATAAACAATTCTACCAATAATTAAGCAGATTTTAAATCACCAACCACTCAAACAGGTACCATACTGTATATGCTTTATACTTTCATTTATTTAAAAAAAAGGCTAATTATGATATCAGAGTTATTCAAACTGATTCTGGTTGAGTACGGTGCATTGTATTATTGACAAGATATCAATTTAGAGTGCACCAATGTTACACGGCAAGGTCTCTGTAGTTACCAAGCATAATAGGCTGCTTATTAAAACAAATGAGGCCATATGGTGCACTCAAAAGAAGTACCGGTATACAAAATTATTTTTAAAAATGTTGACAGATTATGGTGAAATGTTACACTTTTGTGATTCAACTTTTTGAGCAGACCTGAATGCAGTTATTAATTCAATCAAGTCCTTCAAAATCTGTCAATTTCTCTGTACTGTCAACTCCACCCATCAATTACTCCTTCACACATTAAACTAATCAATATGTCTACCGGTAGACAGGTAGATCTTAGTAAGGGCAGGAAGGAAGGGGGTGATATCATGTAGTTGATCGGTCTATTGTACAATCTAGAAAACAGTTTGACATCTACATGCGCCCAACAAAAACCTAAAAATCAGATGTCAGGGTCAGTACCATTTTTCTCTATTGCAATCTATGAAATTCATGCTGGGCTTGAGAAAATAGCTTCAAGGGTGGCGCTCAATAGTTCTTTGAAAACTTATGGCTTTTCTGGGTTTTCACCATTCAAATCAGTGTGCTAAGCAGCATATGGGACACATATTTTGAAGATTAAAAGTATTTGGAGCGACAGTGTATGAAACTTCTAGCCATAAGGTTATAATGCATACATATCTTTCCTGTATACGGCTTCATGCTGTGTAAAATTGTACTTTTCAGTTCATTTTCAATCAGTCACATTTGAATATATATGTGTATATACCTGTATATACCTGTACAGTTATAAATGTACATACTATACTTGTTCCATCTTTACAAAAAAGGACTGTCTCACTCTCTGTGTCTCATACTAAGGATGAGTGGATTTCAATAACCAGTACAAACATCACACTTCATTAAACAGGCCTACCCATAGATGTAAATGTATGCCTACATTTAGAAGGTATTTGAAGGAAGGACAAGAGGGAATGGGTCCTTGGGTAGGAGATAAGAAGATGACAATTGAATGAAGAAAAACCCTGATGTGTGCATGTAAATCTCAAATTCTATTGCATGATACACATATGAAGCTTATATTAGGAACACTGTTTTTAGAAGGGAAATGGTTGAACATGTATTTTTCCAACATTTTTACTTTTTTGAGTCCTCCATAGCTCTACTCCCACCCCTTTATCAAAGGAGATAAGGGATTTAGAAACTCTGGGATTTTATATGTTTGACATGAGTCACATGACTCGTTCTAAAAACAGTATTTTTGTTTTGGTGTACATTAGAATAATCTCAGTGGTTGGGTTTTGTCACGGTCTATTTGCTTAAAGGCACGAGTGAATTTTGTTTGGTGTTTGCATCGTCGACCTATCTGTAAGAAAGGGCGTGAAGTGGCTCTATGTGAAAAGTTGACCTTTATCACTGTACAAGATCATAATTTATTTAACTCCTGCATGAAACAGTAAAATAACCCTTTATTTTGTTTGTAAACTTGGAAGGATTACAAATTTCAGGAATTATATGAGATTATTACTTTTATAACCAGCGGGTCACTCTTGTCATCTTGTATTCCTGCCTGCAATGTTATGTATGGCTTAGTTTCAAGTCAGACATTTAAACTTTGGTAGATCTATGAAAAGATATGGCTGTCCTGCTGAAATTTGGTCACCTGTAATATATTAACCCCCTTCTTCTATTATAATGGAATTCAACATCAAGTCGAGGAAATTTCTTCACAATGTTGTGATAGTGAATTTTCATGAACGCCTTGGGTCCTATCATTGAGTGCCTCTTCTATGCATTGTAAATGCAACACACTGTTTGCCTTTCTGCTTGGTAATATTAGCTTGCTTTTCATCCAGTATCAAGCTCCATCATGCATGTACCTCTTGAAAACTTCTTTACTGTATTGTGATGTGTCCTGTGTCCTATCTTTTATTGCCTCTGTGCATTGTACACAAACACACACTGTTTATCCTCCTGCTCTGAAAATATTTTCTTACTTTTCATCAAAGTGTTGAAGCTTCAACCTGCCTAGAATCAATGATCAAGTTGCAACGTCCAATTTACCTTAGGGATCTCACTGATCTGGGTCAATCAATATTTGATAGCGCACCAATATAGACAGGTTCTTTTCCTCTTCTGACTCTGCATGTTTGGTGGTGTCATTTTATTTGGGGGAATCAACATTGTGTTCAAGAAGTTGTGATGTACAGTGTATACACTCTTTTGCAGGTTTGGGGCCAGGAAGAGGGATGGCAGTTATTATTTGAAATCATTGATTCTGTCGGATAGTTTAAGTGACTATTATTATGTAACATGATGGATAAAACTGTTTTGATTTAAGTTTGCAAGAGTAGATTGTTTGTTTATAGTGTATGTCAGGATATTATTCCTTTATAGTGATTTTTGTTAAGATAAAATGGAATAAAAACTAAAACTGAAATGTGGCCGTAAAAACGGCATATTGCACATGTTATTTTAATAAATACATGTACAGTGTGAATATTCAACTGTAAAATATAACAACTGTCTATAAGAAAAGTAAATACGTTTATTTGCAATTCTTGCCACAGCTCAGTATCAAAACACAAATTCTGTTAAAGAGGAATGCAATGGTGTATTGCACATCAATTGTATCTTGGTATATGAGAATAGTTGTAATTGTCACAGTTGGTATGCAGCATAGAACTTTTAGACATTTTACCAAAAACTAAGCCAATATGTTTACAATGAATAAATCCAAACCTCTAAAAGTAACTGTACTATGATGAAAGCAACCGCTTCCGAGAGCAAATTTCAACTTCATGGATCAATAAGCTCTAATACATGTAAAATACTTGCACTTCATACAGGTGCATTGACAAGTGAATTTACCTGCATGTGTTTGTATGAAGCAGTGTTCATAATAAATGGCATTAAGTGACAATGAAACATGAGATTACTTGGATTAAAATTACTGTGTACATGTATCCACATTACCTGGATATAGACATGTTTTGGAAACTTCCTGAGCCCGTAATAAAAATATAGACCTGACATGTAGTCTTACATAGTTGCATTGCATATTCTGTAAATTTACAGTATTTTTCATCAAATTAAATGTATCTGATATGCTTTTATCCTGTTTTCCTCTTCCCTGTTTATTTTGTTTACAAAAAATACATGTAGCATATGCTGTTATGTAGTTACGGTACACATTTTAAAGACAGTTCTTCTAGAAATCTTCAAAGGGCTTTCTGTATAGCAACTATGCTTAGAGTTACAATGAGGAATATTAATGGTAGTCACATTTGTAGGAGACTTGTTGGGAACGTGGATGCAATCAGAATTCTTGCTATCACATTGCAGTCGTGCATGCTCATTTGCAAGGGGGCACAGGTATGTCTTCTATGTTCAGGGGCATAGATACATTCATATGTATTGGCCTGATGGAGAAGAAAAACGCCTGCCCAAAGGTATTACAAGGGATCCCTATGATGTGTTTCATTCATGTTGGGCTGTTGAGATACAAGTATGTGCCGTGAGCGTTGGTGAACGATCCCTCCCACATTAGTCAGTGGAGTAGATTGAGAGCTCTTCCAGTGTAAACATCTTGTCTGTCCCATCATTGGACCATGAAACATATAGTCTGATATCAAGACTTCTTAACATAAGTATGACATTTAGAGTAAAAAGCTAATTATTAACCTGCTGAATACTAATGTGGAGATAATTTGGGCCAGAGTAGTCTATGGAAAGTGCATTTTTATAAAAAAAAAAAATTGTAACTGAAAGATTTACATGTTATCCCTTTTCTTTTCTTTTTTCAATTGGCCAACATATTTTTGAAGAATGTAATTTCATTTTTTTCTTGATCTATTATCACTTCTTCCATATTAAAAAGCAGTGAATTTAGGCTTATAAATTGCTTTAGTTCTACATTGATATTATACTTTGCTTCTTTCTATCTCTTTACAGTTTGTATTTGAGAGGCTGATGAAAGGATTTTCGCACAAAGGCTGGCGTGTTCGAGAGGAAGTTCTACTATGTTTAATGCAGACGATTAATGTGTAAGTATTCTTCTTTTCCTGTATTTCCTTTCAATGACTATTGACATGTCTGACAAAACTTCTTTATCCTTGAATCAAGCTCTTTCATGAACATTTTTATTTCATGCATTTTACTCCCGACAATGGGGATGATTCGCTTGATAGTTTTACTGAGAAAAAAACTAACAAAAACATTCTAGCAACGAAATAGCTTCCTGTGTGTGTTTTTCTTTCATTCTCCTCTCTGTCTTATTTGTACACGATTCAGCTACTTTGAGATCTGCATGTGCATGTTCTCTGGTGTATCTCCCTTATTTTGCAGCAGTGTATTTTCTGTGATTTCTGTTTTGGGTTTTTTCTTTTTTTACATGTGTTTGCCTGATACATGTGTATGATTAGTGGGAGACTAGGAGTATTTAATGAAATTTAAGAAAATATATCTTTTTGGATGCCTTCGGATACCATTCCAGTCATGTAGAACCGGTATAAAGATTTTTGTTCAAACTTATTTTTTCAAAACAATTGATCATTTATAGAGTAGGCCTTAATCTAAATAGCATAGGGAAGATTCCTTATTCCTTCTCATGATATGGTTCAAGAAAAAGATGTTTGTATCAGACTTTAGGCATTTCCAGATTTAAGCCCTTTTTTGGTTGCACCCCTGTCTTCTTTCAGGTTATAAGGCAGGGCACTCAAAATAATGTCTTTTTATACAGCATACTTGTTCATTGAATCCTAGAATAGATACATTTTCCAGAAAGATGCATGTTCAAATTTTAAGGCATAAAAATTGATTATTTTTTTAGCAATATGCTGGGTTTATTCTATGTGCACCTGTGTGCATTCACAATAATTTGAATGATAAATTGTCCTGAGACTTGGGTTATTTTGTGGAATGTATTCCCCCTCCCCTCAGTGTTGAGTTACTATCCTCTAATGGATCCCCCACAGAGAGAGAGTCACTGAATTAAGATTCTAGTCTAGTCAGGTAATTGCAGACATCTTATAGTGAACACGTTATAGTGGACAGTTTATTTCATCTCTATGTAAGGAAGGGTGAAACTATGCAGATCTGAGTGAAAAACCTCTTTTATAGTCAAGTGTAACGCATGATGAGACAGTCAAGATGATAATTGATAATTATCTGTTTTGTTTTATTCATCCCCATATCCTATGAAGAATAAATAATTGAATAGTATGGAAACTGGACTGGTAAACCCGGATGTAAATAAATGTCATTTTGAATAACCAAATATTTGTGAGGTTGTACATTGACAGATAATCATAGTCATTAATTAGTTTCAGTGATTAATTACTTTTTCATTTAAATGTTACTCTACTGTTTAGGTACAAAGGGAAATAAGAAAGATGTTCTTAAGCTTTTCATGTTCATAGCTAGAAAACCGGTCAAGCAATGATTTGTCTCTGTGGACCGCAAGTCATTACCCTCAGCTAGATAATCAGCTTTTTTTGTTAGTCCTTTTTTTATTAAATTTTCAATTTCAATGTACAAGTTGATTGAGTGATGATGTCATCCTCCATAATCAGTAGGGAATTCCCCTTATGGAAAAATCTCTTCTACCAAAATAAATGATAATGAGAAATGGGGATTGTTATTTTGATGAGCTTTGAAATAAAACACCAAACTCATCTGAAACAATCTCTCGAGAGGAGGAAGGGGGAGAGAGGTAGAGAGAGAGAGGGAGAGAGAGAGAGAGAGAGAGAGAGAGACGTGAAGGCTTCCATTATTCAACCCTCCAATGTCAAGTCTTTAGAGAGAAAGCCTAGATGGAATGAATTTTGAGTCACCCTCTTTGGCTGTATTGGGCATCATTGCAGCTTACTGATTAACTGCACAGAAATGGGCGGCCTGCCAGTACCTCCTTCATGCGTTATTTGTTATGTTGATTGAAACGATCATTCATGTAGTGAAGTGCCTTGTGTGGGGAATGGGTGTGCGCTCATTAGCTCTATAATAATGCAGGTGCATTGAGCCCCAATGTGAAATTGATTGAAAACAAGAAACGTTACTGTGTCTGAAAATAAATTGTCCTTTCATATCAATAAGTTTCTACCTGTGGTGAATTCATAATTTGGGCCTTTTGAGTCATAATTCCCCATGCCTTGAATATCAATCACACAGCCTTTAGAATGAGAGAAATGGGAATAAAATGGTACTCTATTGATTGCTGAAATGTTATGACAAGTCATATTCAATGAAAAATGCTGGAAGGCGAATACTTAAGATCTTAACCTTTATACAAGGATATATTTGCACTAGTGTAGGATTAATCTGATATTATTAGAATTAATTAACTATCCTATACTTCCTTCTGTTTTAAAGGGGTAAATACACTCTGATATCAAGTATGGTTGAAAGACAGCCGAATAATTTTAATATAAAGGCAAATCCAATAAAAGATAGTAATAAAGGTACATGTGTACATGGTTATAGTATTACATGTATGTATAATTTACAGCTATAGTGATTAATGAAAAATGTAACTATGATTTTCTTTGCAAGATTTAGCTATTTTGTATAAGAATTTTGTGAATTCTTCTCCTAGGAAAAAAGATTCTGATTAGTATGCCTGACTATATCTTCTGCTGAGGGCAAATTCTAATACTCCATCACAGAGTTAATACTCTTTTGCCTTTCAACAGACGAATAGTTTGCTGTTCATCCCATTTGAAAGAAGTATTTATCAACCATGAAATACAGAAATATTTGAATGATTCTCTGGAAAAGAAGATAAAAAAACATGCAGAAACCCAACAAACAAACAAATGGAGGGTCACTTATGGAAAAAAAATATAGAATTTTCAATTTCAATAGTGATCTTCAAGCCTCCATTAATTTTGTTATTCTCTTTCTTATCCTTTGTCTGATTTCCCTTTTATTCACCGTTTTGCTCCCGCCATTTTTCTCTTATTCATGGACGAAACCAAGCCTAGAATGGACATCCACTCAGTATAATTGCTATCGACCTTCCTGTACATAGTAAATCTATGGCAATTACTCAGAAATGCTAAATTTTGCTTTGAGTCCTTTTTTCTTGTTGGTATAAAAATACCAACGCAATAAATAGACAGTTGCAAGGTACAGTGACTCGATAGAGACAGGGCAAACATCTGAATTAGTGTCCTTTATTATACCACAGGGTATGGGTATCTTCACCTGGAATTAATGGATGAATCACATAATTAATGAGTGTCTCACCTAGATAGCATGCAATGTTTGTCAAAAGAAGCTCTTTTTGCCTCTCCCTGAAAATTGACATGTCTGGAGGCTTAATGACCAAGTGTGGAAAATCAGTGCACTTTATGATTGAAGTAATGGCCAGTAGGACATGTAAATATTGACTACTGAGAGCCAGATGGGTGTTAATTCATATACTTTTACATGTATTGAGAGTTAACATCCTTCTGGTTCTCGGCAGATATATGGAATAAGAATTATTTTTGTTTCTATTTGGAATGATGGAAAAAGAAAGGGTTATGAGTCATTACATAAACCCAATAAACTTGTGTTTTTTCTGCAAAGCTTCTATGTACATATATGTAAGCCTACATCAGTTGATAGGAAACTGTTTATGATGGTTTGTATTTCACATAAACATTTTTTTCTTTCTAGATCATTAGTGATTTCCTGAACTTCTCTCTCTCTTCCTATGAACGGTCTACATGTATGTTTGTATCTTTGTTGTATAATGTGTAATTGCATTTTCTACAATGCCTCTGAATGTCATGCAAAACGAATATATTATACAGGGCACACAGTGTTTATAGCATAGCTAAACAACTGCTTGTTGTGTAGCATCCCTCCATGAATATTATGCAGACTCTCCTTACATTGAACTATGAGGGCACACTTTGCCTGGGTTCTAATGAGAAGGCTCTTCAGAATAACGAGTCATGACCTTTCTTTAGCAGCCCCGCCAGGAATGATTCATTCAAACTCGGCTTGTAATAGGAGCTACCGATATCATACTCTCACAGCGTTGCTGTACATTATGCAGTGTAAGCGGTGGTGCGATGAACACTGTGAAATGCTTCCTCTTCAAACTGAAATACTGCCCTCTTTCATCCCCTCTCTGTTCAATGTCTGCACACACATACAAACATGCAATACACAGAAGCATCAGCTACATGTATCAATGTACATGTAGGCTAGGGAAGCAGGTGTACTACAATGTATTATTTTCTCAAGAGATAAACAAATTCCGCCTATCATGAATTTGTTGATATTTATTGTGGCTTAACAGAAACATTTGGTACCTATAAGCAATTCCAGTAATGATATGTTTTACATATAACGCTTTTTTGATGAATTATGATGAAACCACTATCTAACTAGACTGTGTGCGCATTTATATTTGTACATGTACAAGTATGCATTTCATCTGTGTCTACTGGTATTGTATTTTGTGGTTAAATTTTCAAGGCTAGAAACATTCTGTTATGTGTTAATGTAGCGTGAGAACATTTCTTTTTAGAATCTGCAAATACAAAATAGATTTATAATAAATAAAGGTGACTGGAAACATAGCATGTGCATGTACATTGATTTATGGTCTATTTGATTCAACTAATCAAAGAATTGTTAAGCCAACTGTGAAAATTACAAGGACAGTGTACAAATGTGCCTACTCAAGTGTGTATACCTTTACAAGCATTTAGGCATGTACATGTACAAATGTAGCTGCTGTGTACTGTTTGTATACCGGTAGTAGTTTCATTTTGATGACAAGAATTGTACACATGAATTAAGAATTGGTGAAATGAGTTAAAGTCATTAATTTTTTTTTTAAATTGCATTCTTAATTGATTTAATTCGTCTGTGTGTGGGGTTTCGCTCTAACAATTTTCTTCATCTGTGAGGAGGTTATGCTTGAATTTAGATAAAGTCATTTCATATCGTTCTTTACTTTATTAAAGGCAAAGACCAGTATTGGACGCCCCAATTTCAAAAAATGAAATGGAAGCTCTTATTACCAATCATGTGAAAGAATATGTTTTGAATATTACATGATGATAACAATTTTGACGGGAAACCGCCTGCTAATTGATATATTTGGTAAATTAGTGTATCTCTTGCCTGTTGAGAGATACAAATGCACGTGTCGCGCAGGTGTGTGTAGTCCCATATACATTTTTCTGTGTACAGTGCTTCTAACTTTATGAAGACTTGGCCAAATTTCTTATCATTTTGATGATTCCAGAACCTTGCAGTACATCTATGCTAGATGATCAACCTTTTCTGATCGATTTCACAACGTTTCTTTCACAATGCAATCGCATGAACATAACTGGTCTTTAGCTTTAACCAATACTCAACTCCCGCCCCCCCTTCTCTATTCCATGCTGTACAAACATACTGTACCATTTAGATATAAAACTGCCTGATTTCAGATTTCAGATTTCCCCCCCCCCCCCTTTAGTTGTCATTTTTCTTAAATTAAAAATGCCAGGAACATTTAAAGGCTCCCTCATTAGATTTACACCCCTATAATTCAATTATAGAATTATATGTTTGTGTGCTAGGTAATGTAACTACATGTTCATGTGTTTTTGTATTTGGGAAAAAAACCCAGATACAATGTACTTGTCTAGTTTTTTAAAGCAATTCTTACTTTTTTGTTATAAATATTTTATCTTTTCACAATTATGTAAGTTATATAATTTCTGATAACCTAATAACCAATACATTAATTCTCTTTTTATCTTCCAGATTTGGTGCTAATTCATTATTACTAAATAAAATAGTTCCATCAATATGCAAGCTTCTCGGGGATCCCAACAGTCAAGTAAGTAATCTACTTGTTTACTATACATGTATGTCTACTTGTTTTCTTTGTAAACCATAAATAAATGATTGTGGAAGGCAACTGATTTATTTTTTTCTTTCAAGAAAAACATATTCTTTCTATTTAAAACAAGAAAATGATGGTCGAATTGATCTTGCTTCAATGTTTATTAATTCTACTTATCAAAAGTCAATTTTGTGTTTTTTTTAATAAAGTTTTATGTATTCTGCATCAGAATGTTAGGGTCAAAGCTTTTCATTACTCTTTTGCAATGTATATATGCACAGTTAGTGTCCGCGATTGAAAAAAAATGATTAGACATGTGTACCCATATGTGGATATATGTTTACATAATCCATTAAATCTTAATGATTCATGTTAAATCTTGTTCATTTGCAGGTAAGAGACACAGCAATCAACACTCTAGTTGAGATATACAGACATGTAGGAGAGAAGGTTAGGATAGACCTGGGAAAAAAGGGCATTCCATCATCAAGGTTAGTCACTCTTTAAAGTCCTCTTTATTTTCAATCATTTGTAATTTTCATCATAACTTTTATCACTATTGTTAATATTTATAGATCAAGTGAAACTCAACTAAAAATACATATTTGTTTGTCTTTGTCAACTTGCTATTGGCAACAATGTGTATATGTGCATCTTCTGTAAATGATAATGAAAAACAAACAAACCAAAAGCAAACAAAAATAAAACCCAAATAAACCACACACACAGAAGTTTTATCTCTTCAGCTGTATTTTCTTCATGTTTGTATAATTTCATCATATTCTGGTTCTATCATCTGTTGGTTTTTCAACTGTTTACAACCTGTTTGATTGATTTTTTTTTCTATAACTATAGGACAGTGTAAATATATTATGAAAGTTATTATGTATATTCTTAATATGCATCTGATCTATCGTTTACAGGTTATCTATTATTTATGCCAAGTTTGATGATGTGAAGCGGTCTGGACAAATGTTGGTGCAGCCTGAACAAAGTGGTAAGTTATAAGAATGCAGTAAAATAACTAGATTGATATGAAGGAATTTAATGCAAGAATAGAGCCTAGTTTTTGCATTTCTTTTATAGTGTAGCATTACTTCATGTCCTATCTTGAGAGGGTGCGTGTTTTCTTCTTTTCTTTCTGCATATGTGAATCAGTGTAGCATAACTTGGTTTATTGAAAAACCATATGATGAGGTGCATCTGCTCATCTTGTTGTGCGTGTTTGCGTTAGGGGATTCAATACTTTAAACCAGAAAATTTTCCTTCAAATGACAAGCTCCTATTATGACAGTTTATAGGTTCTGTGAATATCTTGACATTAATAACAATGCTTAGCCTTACCCACACATACATTGTCACATTGAAAGACTGGAACTCAACTTTGTCACGATGAAAGACTCATCTAGGTCCTTTCCTTTCTAATGAAAAATTTTCTTGTGAAATTGAAATGCAATCTATTTCTATGCTTGCATTAAGAAGAAAAATATATGGGGGATTCCTACCATTGCAATAGAAACCTACAAGTGTGAGAGAACTGTCAGATCTGACTGAGACCATCCTTGAATCAAACCCAAAAATTTGTGTTTGTCAGGCCCCTCCTTTTCCAAGCAAACAAATAATCTTCATTGTTAATGCAACCAATAAAGCAGCCTCATAGGATATACTCACCTATTGTTCTGTCAATGAATAGCTTGAATGATTCCATTGTGCTTCTTTACTATATCCCCTTGTCTAATTCTATGGCTGAAATAACTGTGTTCTTGTTAGTTTTTAAGGCTTTAATATACTTGGCACAAAACCCAACCAACCTTCCTTCATAGCAAGTTATTCTGTATAAAAAAATACAAAATTAGAGAAAAGGCTAACCAGCGAAAAATAATTCAACTACATGTACATCCACAACCGGGAAGAAAGTTATCACAATTCAAAACAAATGTCCTAATTTGATTATTAAATTGAAGGTCATCCTATGATTGTGTTGTCAGCAGGCCAATATTGGTGTGGTTATACTGGTTTGCTTTATAGGAGATTTTACATCTACACTTTTTTAATATATTGGATACAACTTATTTTTGTATAACATACAAGATTCCCGATGGGTTTATCTCATGCTCTAATAGTTGTAGCCTGTATGCCCTGTTGTGTAGGCTATATGAAGACACTATAAACATTTTTTTAAAACACAAAACAGGTTTTCTTACATATATGCACTCGAATGCCTTGAGCCCAGCTTGAGACACACAACACTTCATAGTTGAGAGCGAAGAGCGTGTTAACCTTTTGTTATATGTTATGTCTGCTACCCTATCGGCTTTTCATTTCATGGGGAGAAAATATCTTTTTGTGATCATACCGTGACCAAAAAAGTTAAAAGAGAAAGGTTTCTAACCTTGGGATTTGTGGCTGAGTATGAAAGGCTTGAAAGTGTTTAGCTGGTGTGGATAAAGAAAGGTGCGAGGACTGGTAGAAGAATAACAAAAAGGAGACAAAGATGAAGGAATAAGAAGATTACATTCAAGAGATGGATTGGAGTGAATAAAATGAAGGATTTTAGTTCTGAGCATTACCAGAATCTGTATTCTAGCAATGAAGAAATATAGATCAAAGACATAATATGGACACACAATGAAAATAGATCATATAGACATATACTGTTTTTTGCATGCTTTGTGAATAGTGTAATATCACAACTGAATACAATGTAGATTTGTTCTGTTGAACACTGCATGATCAATGTCCAAATATTGTATGCACCATGCCACCATTTGATGCCTGACAGTTCCCAATTAATGGGAGATCCCGCTGATATTTAGTTCTAAAGATATCCCTGCATAAATTCTGTAGCATCCATTACTGCAAACAAATCTTAGAACATGGAATCAACTTACCCAGATAGCTTTCAAAGCGAAAGTTCTGAAGTTGAGCGTGATGATGGTGTACATGATGTAGTACTGCTGACATGGCGAACTTGTCAGCCATGTTGGTTTGATCAAATACAGCCATGGTTCATATGAGTCGCTATTTAGCACTCATACTCTGCCGGCATTTGACAAGTGTAGATGGACCGTACCCAAGCAAAGTGTCCGCTATGCAAACATCTCTGGCCAATCACATCACTCAAAAGCGAGGAAGGGGCAAAAAGGTGTCGCATGGGGGTCTCTTCCTGGATGCGGTAATTTGTAGAGCGGAAGTCTGCCGATAACGAGTAGCGGCCTGACTGAACGAGAGGATGCCACTGATTCTCCCCCTCACAGTAGCAAAGACTAAAAACTTTTTATGTATCTTTCTAGAGAGCTGCATAAGGGGGGCCAGCGTAGTACCGTGTGTGTTTGTGCCATCATAGATATACGCTTGTCTGACACTGTAAAGTCTCTCCTAATCACAATAACAGCAGTGAGCATGAATCGATTGGCCTCACATGGCTTTCACCCCAAGTACTGTGCCAACGTCATAGGATTACTCTGATAGGTCGATTGGCTTAATGTTCTTTCTATCACACTTGGATCGGAAGAAAAAAAACTTTCACAACTTGACCTTGTCAGGGATAGTTTTGTCATTCTTTTGGCAACTCTTCTCTTAATCAGCACATATTGGTTTGAAGTTTGGAAACACAATCACTATACGATTGCTTGGTAGACTACTTTTTGAATGAAAATAAAACCTGATGTCATTGTTAATTTGTGGAACAACAATAGAGAGGGAATTATAGATTTATATTTCATGCAGTGCTGTGTTTATGGAACTTTTCAGAGGAGAGACTTCAAAGATATCGAACTATACGGTATGCATATTTTTTTTGCTGAACTGAAATAGTGGTTTACATAGACAAATAGAAAGCCATTCCTTTCTTTATTGTGTGGTGTTTGTTCTAGACAACACATTTCGGACAAAAGCAAGGGTACTTTATTTTGAAAAATGGCTTCTGGTAAGGATTCTGGTGGTAAAGATGGCAAGTTTGAGAAGGACATTTCACTGATCGTCAAGTGCCTCTTGAAAGGACCGCTTCCATCCAAGAAGAAAACTATGAAGAACGGAAAGGGGCGGGACCAGGACAGCCCTGATTCAGGATTTGATGAGGAGCAGACAAAGAGACCCAAGAAGACACCACCTCCACCCCCTCCCAGACCCAAGCCAGCCCCACCCTCACTGCCCCCTCCCCCTCCACCACCTGCTAGAGAGAAGGAAACCCCACCTCCCTCTCCAAAGCACCCCACCCATCCACCACCAGTGCCACCACCTAAGAAGAAGGAGGACAAGAGCACAAATAAACTAGCAAAGGATCAGCTACAGAAGAAACAAGAGGAACAAAAACAAAAGCCACTTTACATAAAAAAGAAAGGTATGTCATTATATCTAAAGATTTTTGTATGTGTAATTACAGGAGGATATATGTATATCATTAATTGATTCTTTGTTTTCTAAATAGTTACTTCATGGAATTCTCTCTTGAACAAAATAAAGGTACAATGGTAAATTGTTCTTTGTTATTTTCCTGACTTGCGGGTTAACAAATAGTATCATTTTTCTTCAAACAAATCCTATGGAAATAAATATCTGTAGATATGCAATGATTTTTGCAGTAAGAACATACATATTACACATCTTTTGAAGGCTAGAAAAGATATACATTTCTTAATCTTTGTATCATCAATTCTTGGATTATTTGCATTTTTTTTTTAAATGGAAGTTTATCGAGATATTCAACTTATTCATGTAGAGTAAAACTCAGTCCATTATATGTACAGTGTGGAGAATAGTCATACAAGTTTAGAAGGAGAAGGCTAGCCATAGACATTTTTTTAAATTTCAAATTTAAGGACTTCTTTTTGCTGTCACAATCTAAATTCAAATTAATATAAAATAATCAGAGATATAAAGGTTAGGTGTATATCTTGCCCTGTTTCTTTTTTCCTTTCTTTTAACGGAAAAGAACAGATGTATCTGCATCACTACCGGCTCTCCTTTTGGATGGAAAGGAAGTGATACTAATAATCAATTATGACTTTACATGACACTCCTGTTCCATATAAAGCCACTATCACATTTAATAAGTAGTTGATTTGTCGTAGCAATCGTTGGTCGCCACTGGAGTCACCAGGAATCAAACAGGAGACCAATTCATAGGATGTGATAATTAAAGTGTACCTTGTACAGTCTGTGCAGGAAATCCCTTTCAGCTGATGGGTGTACAATTTTTAGTATTCCTCACAAATGAGAAGACTTGCAGTAGAAATGATGACTTTTATAAAAAATGTTTTTATCAAAAGAAATCATTCATACCCATGGCTTGAAACTAACAAGAACAGGGTGCCCAATTTTTAACTTCGGACTCTTAATGTAAACAGACCCTAACCCTTCAATTCTGGATCCCCTTAGAATTGAAATGATTTGCTTATTTCATTGAAGTGTAGAGTTAATTTTTTGGGCCATTGTCCTTTGAGTATTTCTGAGTATATGTTTTTAAACTGTAAATAGAATCATTCACATTTTAATTGCACTAGGATGGAACCTCTTAAAAACTTCTTGATCCTCTAATTTGAATTATTGAAATATAAGCCTTTTATATTTCTTGTATTTAGGAGGGGGTGCATATACTCAAACATAAGCAAATCATATGTGCATTGACCTTGGTCTTATGAGATCATAGTTTATTGGCAACAACGCAACAGTTGTTATTCACATGCATGATAAAGAATGAAAATAGGTTAATGAAATAACCTTTAAAATTACGCACAGAAATTTGCTGATATTGATTGACACTTGTTACTAGGCAATACACGTAGCTTCTTAATGAGCATAAGGCAAGCTGTTTCCTGTCCTTAACTCATTATTTTAGGTGGAAGTGTGCCCCCTCTTGTCAAGATGCTGAACATAGAAATAAGTTGCTATTGCCCTTATAATCTGCATTAAGAAGAATTGGGATATCTTTGCTATTAAAAAATTATTGTATGCTTCTCTCATTTAACCATGGTAAAGTTTCTACAGATAATTGTG